GTTTGCAGGGCAGCAGGGAAGAGCTAGGTAGGGCTGACAGGATTTGATATTTTAGTGAAGGAAGGGCACTGTGTTGTAAACCCACAATAAGAAGTTAACAGCTCACTGGATTTCTTAAACAATGTATTTCTGTGCAGTTTTTTTTATTAGTATATACGAAGGCATACACTTTGATGGGCATCTGGTGATTTAAGAGAATTACTTTTTTTAATAAAATCCCATTTGAGCAAAAAGACAGTTGCGGCCAGAGCAGAGATCCTTTAGAAAGGTTTCAGCAAGGCAGGTTGACGCACAAGAGCTCTGACTGCTTTATGGCAATCACTTCAAAACAAAATAGGTGGAGATTAATTGCAGACAATGTAAGGACGCTCTCTGAGATGAAAATAGTTTGGAAAAACTTAATATGACATACAGTGGTGAAAATAATTATTTGATCCCCTGCAGATTTTGTAAGTTTGCCCACTTACAAAGAAATGAAAGGTCTATAATATTTATCATAGATGTATTTTAAATGATAGAGACAGAATATCAACCAAAAATCCAGAAAAAAACCCATGATACAAATGTTATAAACTAAGGGAGTTCAGTGAGTAAAATAAGTATTTGATCCCCAAGCAAAACATGACTTAGTACTTGGTGGAGAAACCCTTGTTGGCAAGCACAGAGGTAAGACATTTCTTGTAGTTGGTTACGAGGTTTGCACACCTCAGGAGGGATTTTGGTCAACTCTTCTTTACAGATCTTCTCTAAATCCTTAAGGTTTCTTGGCTGTCGCTTGGCAACTCGATGTTTCAGCTCCCTCCATAAATGTTCTATAGGATTAAGGTTTGGAGACTGGCTAGGCCACTATATGACCTTAATGATCTGCTTCTTGAGCCACTCCTTTGTTGCCTTGGCGGTATATTTTGGGTCATTGTCATGCTGGAAGACCCATCCATGGCCCATCTTAAGTTTTCTGGCTGAGGGAAGAAAGTTCTCATCCAAGATTTTACAATATATGGCCCCACCTATTGGCCCCTCAATGCGGCAAAGTTAGCCTGTACCTTTATCAGAGAAACAGCTCCAAACACAGCGAGTCGAGTTAATGCCAAAGAGCTCAATTTTGATCTCAACTGACCACAGCACTTTCTCTCAATCCTTCTCTGAATCATTTAGATGTTCATTGGCAAACTTCAGATGGGCCTGCACATGAGCCTTCTTGAGGAGGGGGCCTTGCAGGCACTGCAGGATTTCAGTCCATAGTGACGTATTGTGTTACCAATGTTTTTTTGGCGACCGAGTTCCCAACTGCCTTGAGATCATTCACAAGCTCCTCCCGTGTAGTTCTGGGCTGACTTGTCTCATGATTATACTTACTCTACGAGTCGAAAACTTGCATGGAGCTCCAGACCAAGGGTGATTGATGGTTATTTTGTATTTCTTCCATTTGTGAATAATCGCTCTAACAGTTGTCTCCTTCTCACCAAGTTTCTTGTTCATGGTCCTATAGCCTATTTCAGCCTTGTGCAGGTCTACAATCTTGTCCCTGACATCCTTTGACAGCTCTTTGGTTTTGCCCATGGTGATGATCAGGTTTGAATGGAAGAAAGATTCTGTGGACATGTATTTTATACACATAACGAGCTGTCATTAGGAGCACCTTCCAAAAGCGATTCTAAAGATTTTTTTTTTTTTTAAATAACAAACATGTCTATACTTACCTACTGTGTGCAGTGGTTTTGCACAGAGCACCCTGGATCCTCCTCTTCTTGGGTTCCCCACAGGCTCTCCTGGCCCCTCCCTCCTGTCGGGTGCCTCCACAGCAAGTAACTTGCTATGGGGGCACGCGCTGCTCCGTGTGTCCATTCACACACTGATGCAAGTGTACAATCCTAACGCACACGTTCCTGCGTTAAAAATTGTTGTGCGTATAAGTGGGTGCTGCAGCAACCGTCAGCTGGAACTGAACAGAATCAACAAGGGAGAATGTCACCAGCACACCGAGGATCACCAGTATGGGTCCAAAAGCTTTAATGAAATTTAAAGTTACAGCAAGGCAACATTTCGGAGTCTCGCAGGATCTCTTTATCAGGCATTTGGGCAAACTTACAAAATCTGCAGGGGATCAAATAATTATTTTCCCAACTGTAGCTATTGATTCCAGTTTTCATGAACAACCAAAGTGTGCCAGACTGTACATATTGTATACAGGAAAGTTCTAAAAATATTTTAATTGCTCAGATCATGTGATACAAGTAACTGTTGTGTCATACCATTTATTGATGTTCTATTAATGACCACTGTCCAGGTGACTCAGTGCAATGGAAATATATAAAAATATAAATCAAAGCAAAACATAACATTGCATATACTTTTAATTTAGTTGATGTACAAATTTGCAATCAACATTTTATTTAAAAAAAAAAAATCAAAAACATGTCCATTGTGCAGCACAGCTCCATGCCATGAATCTTGAACTGCACTGCACTGTATATAAAACACACAGATAACAGCACATGCCACTATGAAACACCCTCACGCTGTACTGTAAATACAGTGATAGACACATTTTTAAAAGCTTATAATCTAGGAAAATGAGGACATAAAAATCTTCCCTTTTCATAATAAAATACTGTTCTCTATAAGATCCAATGAAAATTTCCAGTACTTAAAATATAATCAGGGAAAAAAATAAAAGCATTTTGCAGACAAATGTTTGCAAAATTTGAGAAATATGTAGATACACAGTAAGAATGAGTTTATCAACCTATTGGTGGAGGATATTGGGTGGCATGTTGTATCTAGAAAATGAATATACAGAAGAAAAACAAATGAGCCTTACAGCATTGTACAGAGAAGAATGATGTAAAAGGAACACATTAGCAACCAAAGTTATGAGCAGTCAAGAGTTCTCACTGGAGAATAATGATTAAGGTACTACTTATTTCTCTGTGCAGTATGAAAAGCCCATAGTAGAAAATGGTCCTTTTGGCAATACATGACAATTAGAAGCAAACTTATAACAATTATACCCTTATACAGCAGCACTGGTTCATGATACACAACAGCAGATGACAGATGCAACAAAGGTGATTTATAAACAAAGTGGAAAAGTGAACCAGAAACAATCTGGCAGCTTTCCTTAGGCTACCAGGCTGATTGGTTTGCAAATGGTTACCAAATACTGTACAACAAATCCCACGGTATTTTCTAAATGAGAATTTTTGGAAAGGAAGGAACTAATTCACCTGTTGCTAATAGCAGTGTAAACTAAAGAAACAACCATGTGTTAACATAAAAGGATTTCAAACATTAGGATGTTTTAGAAAACAAACAAATGCTCAGTGCATCAATTTTAATTTGTGTGGGTAGAAGGCAGGGAAGGTCTGGCCAACCCATTTTAACAGGTTCCTCTACACAACAAAACAAAAAACGCTGAATATAGTGCAAACCCTTTCCCCCCCAAGCACCTGTAAAATCACTCCATGTTAGGCTAGTGGATTACACTTACCACTCAGCAGAATTCAGCACACTGTAATAAAATGTCAGTCAGCAGAATCAACAATGACTGATGAAGTGAGAGTCTACATAGGCACATGTAGATCTCACACTACCAGCTGTTTTCTGCAAGACATCTGTTTCTGTATGGTCATCCTAAGCCAAGGTCACGATATGGAGACTCTTAAAGGGTATTTCCAATTTTTTAGTCAAATTTGATGAAACCCAACATTTGTTATGTGTTCCGATTCACGCAGCATGCCCAACATTTTAAACATACAAACGCAAGAAGGGCAGCCCCTAAATCTCTAACCCTTTGTATGGACAAAAAGTGTTCAAATCTAGTTAAAATTGATCATGAAAATCTGCCTGCACAGTAAAGACAGGGATAATTATGGCAAATATAGCTGCCCAGCCCCATTACAAAGAGAACTATATAGCGTTTTACTTGCTGGAGTATCTAGAATAGAGTATCTACAAGGCCAGGATTATATCTGTGAGGGTGATTACCGCTGTGAGAATGCACCTGTTCCCACAGCCGCAACCACCCACACAGAAAAACACAGATGTTTGCGGGTGTTAATAATGCTAATAGCACGCCACACTCACTGGAAGTCGCTCCCACACTGAAAACCACACTGCGCGTGTGGTTCCTGTGCGGGCTTCGATTTGTGAAATGCTGCAGGGACCTTTTTCCTGCGTTTCAGGAGGAATGGCAGCCCATTCAAATAAACAGGCTGACATGCCTATGTAAACCGTGGCTAGCAGAGCCACACAGATGTGAACCTAGCCTAAAAGGTAAGATGCAATTTTTTTTTTTTTTAAGCGATGCGAATAGGAACATGTGACAAATATGTAGGCGTTATCCCAATTTGGTTGCAAAAAAGTGGAAACACACTTTGTCCGGGAGAACTGTCTGCCCTATATTGCCCATGGACAGTGCATAGCCATTTTTTTTTTTTTTGAAGAACCGCTTAAATAGGTTAATGCTGGAGTGAAGAAATAATTTTCTACAAACCACACATTGATATCAATGTGCAGACTATATAAATCTTCATAAATCCAGTCTGATAACAGAATTGGCCTGTATGATATCAATAACTAGCTTTGGGTGTAATATATTTAAAAAAGGACATACAGCTGTGTGGGATGCGCTCTAATTCATGGCAGCCAATCAAAAATAGCATGTGTTTGATCATCCTGGTTAAAACGAAATTGTTTACTATGGCTTAATACACTTGTTTGCACTGTGCGAACTTGATGCAATATCTGGCCTTCAGCAACACAGCTACTACTTAAGTAAGCTGGAATGCTGACAATTTTCTAATCATGGTGAAAAGTAATTAAAATATAATTTTTAATTTAAACAAGAGGCATAAAGTGTACTAGTGTATTAATATGTAAAATAAACAATAAAAATAAGCTCATGATTTAAAACAGTAGACAGCAGCTCACACTGTGTGTACACAGCAATGTTAAGGCGATATTACAGATGAGGGAAATAGACTTGATAACAGTCTGCTTTATTCTGAAGCTTTTGGAACGCTGAAGTTCACGGCTAATTTCCGAGGTTTCCGCCTGCCGCCTGAGCCTGGGGTGGGCTTAGCTCGAGGAGCTGAAGAGCCAGTTGGAGCAGACTTGTCTTTCGTTGGAGGCTGATGGGTTTGTGGAGAAGTCACAGGAACATGAGACCTGTCTGAGGGAAGCTGACTGGCCACATCAGGAATCAGTCTCTGCTCGGCACTTGAATTACCTTGTGAAGAACCTGAGGGCTCTCGGACTTCAGAACTCCTATTACCAGCTGCTCTTTGCTTAGTTACCTTGACAAAAAGACAGTGTTTCATAAGTACACGCAATAGGGTCGATTCACTAAGATGCACAAATAATTTGATGGAAATCACTAAATTTACTAACTGCAATCATTAATTTACCCTGCAGTAATTTCTAATTTTCTCATGAAAATGTTCCAATCATAAACACCCTGGGGTAACACTAGTTTTATTCCATATGAAGTCAATATTTAGCCACTGAAATTCTCCATTTCTGATGAACTGGTATTTTATTTCATAAATCTGCATCACATTTACACCTCAAATGACTCTTTCTGCTCTCTTTGAAAGGCACCTCACAGAACCTCAAAATTATTGCCAGGCAGAAGCTAGTATTATTTTAAGGAGTGATAATATGTAAGAAAAACTTTATTTAGCCTTTTTATTAATTTTAGGGAAATAGTGTTACACAAATATCGTTCAGGTAAAATACTATAATGTGTTAACATAAGGTTTCCCCTTTTGCATTAGCCAATCAAGTCATGTGATGAAAATAACGCAAGGTTGTATCGGCACCAAATACAAACCTTTCAAGTAAAAGGGGCAATGCCGAAAGTGCACGCAATCCACACTGATGTGGCACAGTGACACAGTGGCTTTTCAGGATTAAAACAGGCAGTGAGGAGGTGACGTACTGTATAATCTCTGAGCTGCCTGTCAACTCCCTGCTGAAAAGTAATCCACTGTGGATCACTGTTTAGAGGGGACAGCAAGAGCTGACGTGTTAAAGTGGTTCTAAAGGCAGGTGTTTTTTTCCTTCAGCATTTTTTGGAAAATATCCCCCCCACGGTGTAATTTTAGCAAGTTACTTTTTACACATAGCATGGACGCCCCCCCGAAACACAATCTGCTATGCCTCCTGAGTATGGTGATACCAGGTGTGATACTTTTTCACAACTAAGATGAATAGAGGGGCCCACAATCCAAGAAGCACCTTCAAACAGCATAAGTTGTGCTTCTAATTTCCTGACTACCTATCACATTTTTTGGAGGCCATGGAGCACCAAGACAATGAAAACACCCACAACATGAGCCTATTTTGGAAAGCAAACACTCCAAGGAATGTTCTGAAAGGCATAGTGAGTCTTATAAAAATGTCACTTTTTGCAACCAGTTTTTGGAAAATTCTGGAAAGAAAATGAAAATGTATTTTTTTTATACAAAATTGTCAATGAATATGATAATTCTAACACACATCATAGGTATACTTAGAAATACATCCAAAAACACATTCAGCTACTCTTCACCAGTGTGGTCATACCACATGCATAAGACTGTTTAAACAGCCAAGCCACACAGAGAGGCCCAAAATCCAAGGAGCACTTTCAGGCTTTCTAGGGGCATAAAATAAATCTAAGGGGCAGAAATTAAATCTAAAAAATGCATGCTTTGTCTTTTGAAGACTTAATTTTTTTGTCAAATGTTTTTGGAAAATGCGGAAAGAAAATGAAAATAATTTTTTTTTTCACAAAGTTGGCAATTTTCTCACACACAGCATGGGCATAGTTAGAATAACACCCCAAAACACATTCTACTCCTCCTCCTGAGTCTGATGATACCACATTGTGAGAGACTTTTTCAGTGTCTGGACTGATTATATATCAGCCATTGTATCGTGTGTATCACACAAATCAACCAATTATGTCAAAACCAATGTACTGTAATGGTCATCTCTATATGAGTGGTCAGGAAATATAGCTTAGTATAGTGTCACCTATAGCAGTCCCAGTTCCTATAAGCTAAGCAAGGCTAGCCTAATGGCATTCTTGAGGGCAGTCGCATACCATGTTCACTAACTAGGAAGTAAAGGAAGCTGAAGAAAGAAACAACAAGAGTTCCCAAAATGACTGGTGTGGTGGTGACTGGCATGGTGCTGGCCACATGCAGTGCAACTGGTGTGGCGGTGATTGCAGACACCTTAACTGGTGTGGCGGTAATTGCAGACACCTTAACTGGTGTGGCGGTGATTGCAGACACTGTAGCTAGTGTGGAGGTGATTGCAGACACTAACTGGTGTGGCGGTGATTGCAGATACTAACTAGTGTGGCGGTGATTGCAGACACTGTAGCTAGTGTGGAGGTGATTGCAGACACTAACTGGTGTGGCGGTGATTGCAGATACTAACTAGTGTGGAGGTGATTGCAGACACTGTAGCTAGTGTGGAGGTGATTGCAGACACTAACTGGTGTGGTGGTGAAAAAAATGTTTAAATATATACTGTCACCATAGCAGTACAGTGTCTGAATTACTCTGGGGGGATGATCAGGAGGTTTGTTTTTTTTTACACGGTGATTGCTTTTACAGCCATGATGGCTGTAAAAGCAATAATTTCTCACTCTCCCCAGCTGCATTCCTTCTTCTTCTTCTGATTTTTCATTCAACATGCCTTCAACATTACACACATCAATCATTGGTTTGATGAAATAGTAAACTTTCTTCAATCATTTTCATTTGAGCTTTATTTCTTACCTGCAGTGGTATGAATTGGTTGTGACTCCCAGCAGGCATATGCCCTGGATATGTTCCTTGGTAGTAGGGTTTATTAAGAAGTGGTAAAGGCGGCCGCCAGGGAACACCACTGAAAACATGGGGTGCTGGAGGGATAACATTGGCTATAAAAAAAAGAAAGTTGCATAATTTACACAATGTTGTAATGCATTTGAGTCTTGTGCTTAAAGTGTATCTCCATGTTTGATGAGAAAAGCAATCCTCTTTGGGTAAACTATGTATATTGCAGGGAATTTATCAAACTTTGTTACAGATCTCAATCATTTTCTGCTCTGAATAAAGTTTTGCTTCCTTTGCACACTGAGTCTGAATGGGAGGATTTAATTCATTATAATCACTGTGTGCACTTTCAGTGTTCAAATGAGAAAAGCTGAATGTGAGCATCCCTTTAGAGGTAATAAACCCTTGAGGAGACTCTCATCAATGCAGAAATTTCTACAGCAGGGGATACCTAAAATGTGACTAGCATCTTAGTGCAAATTTCTGAGAAAATCAGTAAGCTGATCACCCAAGCAGGAAATTATATTTCTGGTGGTGTTCTGTACACCAACAGTGTATAGAATGCCTCTAGGTTGCCATATTGCATTACATTTCATAGAAAATTACAGCAGCTGCAGACTGATGGCCTAGGGTATAATATGACCTTGTTGTTGTGTAGTAATGAGGAAGGGCTCTTTTCAAGAAAGAGCTGCTAGTTCTGATAGTTAAAGTTCTAGAACAGAGAATTGGGCAGAGAATGCCTTGCAGGACGTAGCCATTATACCCAAAACTCTCATGATGAATCTCACTGTGGGATTTCCTTAGGAAATCTCAGCTGTTGAGAATAAGCTTAAAGAAAAAAGGTTCTTTTCTGGAAGAAAAACCTTTTACAGAGACTACCTAGATTTAGATACAGATACTCAAGGCTGGAAAGCAGATTTTCTTTTTCAAGTTCATCACCCAGCTAAAGGCCGTTGAATCGTTTTTTAGACATTCTCTGAAAGTTGAGAAGGAGATGCATGCTTCATGAGCAAGCGTGTCCAGATAGCCTGTCACATGGATGCTCTAAGTTCTGAGAGGTGGCAAGCAAGCAGAGGATGGGCTGAAAGGCAGTGCAATAAATTGAAAATGGTTGTCTGCTACAGCAAATTGTAGACAATGCTGATGTGGTGGGTAAACAGAAACACGCAGATAGGTATCCACCGATACCTTGCTGACTCCATATACAATTTTGTAATGTGAAGTTATTTGTTGAGGGATTTTAAGTTCAGGATAGGACAGAAACAGTATCTCTGTTGGGTTTTCGTACCATGAGCAGGTTTGAGTAGAATGCTATGAACCTGTCCTGAAGTAGTACTGGTACAACGACTCCCTGGGACAAGAGGAGGTTCAAGACCTTTTGCAAATCAGCCCCTGGACAGTTTTGGGTTGATTGAAAAGAAGCAAGCAGTGAGGAGGTAGAGTTTTGAACTTTATCTTTTATCCTTTGGACACCACCAATTGAACCAACAAGGCCTGTCTGTGATCCAGAGAGATGCAAATTGCAACAGATGTCCACCCACTCTTAGGAGTGAGGACACCCCTTGATTGTGAGGAGGGCTTTGGGGAAGGATTGGTGGCCTTTGTGGGCCAAGTATTGAGCTGAAAAGAAGGGCTGAACTTAGGCTTTGAACTTGAAGCCTGAAAAGAGCATGGGGGTGCTCTAGGTTTCATGGAGCTAGGAGCAACTGAAGAGGACTATTTTGTTACCTTTCTTTCAGGAATTATAACTTTTTCACCCTTGAATTCTTTAATAAATTGGTCAAGTGCCTCACCAAACAGGCTTTTTCCATGAAAAGACATATGTGTGAGGGGTCTCTTACAGACAAGTTATGCTGTCCAAACTTTTAGCCAAAGAATCTTGCATCTATGAACAGAGATAAGAGCCATTCTGGATATCTGTCTCATGATGTCTTCTCGGATACTGACACAGAAAAGAAGAGCAGATGGAAGCTGTTGTAAATCACTCTGCAACATCACGTCCCTGAAGAAGGGGGGGGGGGGGGGGGGCGGGTCAGGTCATTTGTTCATAGCCCTGATCAAGTTATCTACAGTCTGGCAAACTGAAATAACAGCAAGAGTTGGTTGCAAGGCTTGGCCTACCGACGTAAAGCATCTCAAATTTTCTGTTGCCACAATCTATAAATGACGGAACATCTTCATTGGGTACAGTGTAATGTCTGTCTGTAACAAGGACAACAGGGTCAACCATGGGAATAGCCCACTGCTTTGTAAAAGGAATAGAAAATAAAAAATAAAAATCTCGGGGGGGGGCGAGTGTGTTAAGTAAAAATCATTTTTAGGAGTGACACAGTTGTCATAGATTGTAGATTACATATGTTCATGAACAGGGAATGTTTTGCAAGACTTTTGGATTCCTTTTTGCTATTAAACATGTCCAGCGAAAAAAAAAAATGTAAAAATCAAATTTTGTCATAAAAATAGGCCAAAATGTATTCTGCTACATGTCTTTGCTAAAAAAAAAAAAAAAAATCCTAATACGTGTAAACAAAATAGTACTTATATCGGGACTGCGGCACAGCGGAGGGCATTGTGACACGGGGGGGATGAACTGACAGGTGTCACTGACATCCCCAGTGACAACAATACAGTGATCATTGCTAATAAAAGCACTGACACTGTATTATTAACACTGGGCAGGAAGGGGTTAACATGTAAGGCAGTCAAAGGGTTAACTGTGTGCTGTTTTTACACTGTGTCCTGTGTTTGTGCTTCACTGTAAGCACACTGCTTTGCATGGCTGTACTATTTTGTTTACATGTATTAGGATTTTTTTTTTTTTTTTTTTTTAGCAAAGACATGTAGCAGAATACATTTTGGCCTATTTTTATGATGACATTTGTTTTTTAATTTTTTTTGCTGGACATGTTTAATAGCAAAAAGTGAAAAATATATATATTTTTTTTTTTTCAAAATTTTCCGTCTTTTTTTTATAGCACAAAAAATAAAAACCGCACAGGCGATCAAATACCACCGAAAGAAAGCTCTATTTGTGGGGAAAAAAAGGGATGTAAATTTCATTTGGGTGCAACACTGCATGACCGCGCAATTGTCAGTTAAAATTTAGCAGCTCCGTAACACACAAAATGGCCTGGTCTCATTACATATATATATATACACACACACACACATAGATAGATATATATATATATATATGTATATATTACTAAGCACTGCTATGGTAAATTGCATAAAATCATCCAAGGAATAAAACATTCGCATTGGGAGCTTACCTGCTGGTTGAGGAAAAACCACTGGCAATGGCCCAGTAGGTACCCCTGTTCCAAGAGGCTGATAATTCGGAAAAAGAGGTGATGGTGTTTGCAAAGGGAAGTTTGCTCCAACCGAACTCTAAAAATGAGACAAATTTACAGAATCTTTGAGTAGACCAAAGGCAATATCTACTGTGGCCCCCTGCCCAGGACAGACTTTTATTTGGTTGTAAAAATAAAAATTATTTTTCTTTCACCAAAAAATATCACACTCCTTGCATCTTAATATAGCATACATTAAAAGAGAAATATAGGAATATATTTTTTTTAATCATACTTACCTAGGTGGATGCAGAATTGATCTGATTCTACATCAGTTGCTCACCAGCTCTAAGGGTGAGAACTGAGCGATCAGACACCGCTGATTGCTCAGTTCTCCCTGCCACTCTTAGCAGAGAGCAGTGACTGTCAGTCACTGCTCTCAGCTCTGACCAACTCCCTCCCACCCAGTGCTCACTGGAAAGCTGGGCTGTGGAGGATGAGGGAGCGGCTGGCTCAGGGCCTTAGCGGCTTGCTGAGAGGCTGAGCCAGGTACAAGTCCAGGCTCCTGGGTGGAACCCCGACTTTAACGTCGGGATCTTTTCCCGGCCTAGACCGACAGCAGACTTTAGCCTGTTGTGACTGAACACAGGTCACAGGAGTACAGAACAAACTGCACTCCTGTGATCCACAGGAGAAGTACAGCCAATTAAACTTGGACTGTACTTCTCCTTTAAATGCCGCTTAAGACGCAACGCTCATGAAATAGGTTTACAACAAGCAACAGAACAATCAGGGATCCATCAATACAAACAAACCACAAACATAACTATAGTCAGGGTGGTTTTAAATGTAAAAAAAAATTGTTAATCATTTAATGCTCATGTGTTCGCAGTGCTAAAATCCTGAGAAATAATTTAAAGGGAAGAAAGAAAAACAGTGTATTTACCAGTCTCTGCAGTGCATACAAGGCAGCTTTCTCCTTTGCATCATTTTCAGTATGACATGGAGGTCCTTGTATGGCCAAACCATTTGACAGCTTAACTTGACAGAGTGTCAAATTCTGCAACAGACAAAGAATTATACAGATACATCAAACTACTGGGAAAAGACATACAAAGCTGACTTTGATCCAAATGTATTTCTTCTTAATTCTTTATTTATAAAACATAGTTTATTCAATCATGCATAGACAATTTATTTACAGATCATACATAGTTGAAAAAGCAAACAGGCTAAATAAAGAAAAGATGTGTGTACATATGTTTCTATTAATCTGGGCTAGTATTCTATAAAAACATGCTTCAACATTGGAATGGGTAATATTTATTAAATGATTATGCTAAAATTAAAGCATTTAAGAAAATTATCATTTTTTTAAATGGAAATCAAGAATAATATCAAATTGAACTTCTATTCTGATTTCTATCCTATTTTAGAAAACTATTAGCTGTACTTTTTTTTGGCAAAAGGTTACTACAAAATGACAGTTAAGACAAAACATTAGGCTTAACAGCAATGTTAGGCAATGCTACAGTGCCTTGAAAAAGTATTCATACCCCTTGAAATGTTCCACATTTTGTCATGTTACAACCAAAAACATAAAATGTATTTTATTGGGATTTTATGTGATAGAGCAACACAAAGTGGCACATAATTGTGAAGTGGAAGGAAAATGATAAATGGTTTTCAAAATGTTTTACAAATAAATATGTGAAAAGTGTGGCATGCATTTGTATTCAGCGCCCCGGAGTCAATACTTTATAGAACCACCTTAGGCTGCAATTACAGCTGCAAGACTTTTGTGGATGTCTCTACCAGCTTTGCACATCTACAGAGTGACATTTTTGCTCATTCTTCTCTGCAGAATAGCCCAAGCTCTGTCAGATTGGATGGAGAGTGTCTGTGAACAGCAATTTTCAAGTCTTGCCACAGATTATCAATTTGATTTAGGTAGGTCTGGCCATTCTAGCACATGAATATGCTTTGATCTAAACCATTCCATTGTAGCTCTGGCTGTATGTTTAGGGTCGTTGTCCTGCTGGAAGGTGAACCTCCGCCCCAGTCTCAAGTCTTTTGCAGACTCTAAGGTTTTCTTCTAAGATTACGCTGTATTTGGCTCCTTCCATCTGCTCATCAACTCTGACCAGTTTTCCTGTCCCTGCTGGAAAAAAACATCCCCACACTACGATGCTGCCACCACCATGTTTTACGGTGGAGATGGTGTGTTCAGGGTGATGTGCAGTGTTCATTTTCCGCCACACATAGCGTTTTGCTTTTAGGCCAAAAACTTCTATTTTGGTCTCATCTGGCCAGAGCACCTTCTTCCACGTTTGCTGTGTCCCCCACATGGCTTCTTGCAAATAGAACTTCTTATGGCTTTCTCTTTCAACAATAGCTTTCTTCTTGCCAATCTTCCATAAAGGCCAGATTTGTGGAGTGTAGGATTAATAGTTATCCTGTGGACAGATTCCCCCACCTGAGCTGTGGATCTCTGCAGTTCCTCCAAAGTTACCATGAGCCTCTTGGCTGCTTTTCTGATCAATGCTCTCTTTGGCTGGCCTGTCAGTAGAGGTGGAAAGCCATGTCTTGGTAGGTTTGCAGTTGTGCCATACTCTATTTTCGGATGATGGATTGAACAGTGCTCCGTGAGATGTTCAAAGCTTGGGATTTTTTTTTTTTTATAACCTAACTCTGCTTAAACTTCTCCACAACTTTATTCCTGACCTGGCTGGTGTGTTCCTTGGCCTTCATGATGCTGTTTTGTCACGAATGTTCTCTAAAAAACCTCTGAGGGCTTCACAGAACAGCTGTATTTATACTGAGGTTAAATTACACACAAGTGGACTCTAATTTTATAATTAGGTGACTTCTGAAGGCAATTGGTTGCACTAGAATTTAGATTGGGGTATCAGAGTAAAAGGGGGCCTGAATACAAATGCACGCCACACTTTTCAGGTATGTATTTGTAAAAAATGTTTAAAACCATTTATCATTTTCCTTCTACTTCACAATTATGTGCAACTTTGTGTTGGTCTATCACATAAAATCCCAACAAAATACATTTACGTTTCTGGTTGTAACATAACATGTGGAAAATTTCAAGGGGTATGGTATGAACACTTTTTCAAGGCACTGTAGCGATCTCAGTTTCTGAGAATCTTTATGCATGTATTTGTAAATCTTCCTTACAGCTTTCATGTTTTAGCTCAATTTCTGCAAAATATGTAGTGATCGATAAACGGTCAAATTAGTATGGACTCAACTATTGATACAGTGGCATATGACCTGCTACCGATGTCACCCCAGATTGGAGTGCAATATAAAGCTCTCATTTGAGAAGTTACTCTATGAGCTGAGATTGTGGGAAGGCCTGAACACAATCTGGATTGAAGTAGGGGGTTTCCCCACTAGCTTGATAAGTGATTTTACATTTCTAATGACACACAAAATCGCACCACTGTAGGCTTTTGATGGAACAACTAACAGAATCATATTAACATACAAAGACAATGGAAGAATGCACATTTTTCTGAACCACCCAAGCCTTTTAAACAAGCATTTCAAACAGTATTTCAGCTCAATGCTTCTTTAAAGCCTAACTGGACACAACCAAAAACCTTATGGTGGGAGCCCTTCAAACTGCAAAAATGAACTTCATTAAAGCAAAACTCCATGCTTTATTTTGCAGAGAAATCACTCTGAAAGACACCCCCTGGCATTTCTGTCTGTGGTCATCTCAAAGACAGATAATTCATGCAGCATTTACAGAGGTTGGACAAAATTATGGAAACACCAGGTAAAAGAATGAAATGCATAAATGTGTATCAGTACCCGCAGAGATGCCAGAGGTGGGAAATGAGGCCTGAACTTTGTTCTCCATAATTGACCATAGAGGTTCTGTTATTGAGGTCCGGTGACTGCGGCACCCACGGAAGGTGCACGAGTTATCTCTTGTCAAACCATGATTTGACAACACCAGCTGTGTGAATCGGAGCATTATCATCTTTGTAAATGGTGCTGTCTTTGGGAAACTATGTCTGCACCATGGGCTGCACATGGTCGGCCAAAATTTGTATAGTCGCTGGCTGTGACTCTACCTTTGAAGGTGATGATGGGCCTGCAGAATACCAAGAAACTGCTGCACAAACCATGATTGCACTGCGACCATGCTTTATCATTGACACAAGACAGTCCTGGTTATATACTTGGGATGGTGTTTGCCACGCGTAAAACACGTCCGGGGGTTGGGAATAGTGTGAAGCTTGATTCATCGGACCAGATTACAGTCTTCCATTGATTGACAGTCCACAATTTATGGGTGTTGCATCACTCTCTCCTCTTCTGAGCATTAACATCAGTCACTAGTGGTTTGGCAATTGCAGTTCGCCCATGAATATTTTGCTTATGGAGTTTCCACTGCACAATTTTTCTTATCCCAGCTCATGATCCTGTGCAATGTCCTTTTGTCCCTTTTGTCAGTTGACCATGTCGACTGCACTTATGCTTATCAGACGATATTTTCCTGGAAACTGTATATGCCATCATAACCTTTAATAATATACCTCACGACACAGCAAATACATTGGCAACTTCAGTCACAGAGGCACCAGCTAAGCAATCTACAATCTACCCTTTTTGAAATTCAGCAAGCTTTGACATGACTTTGTATTACAAGTAGTGCACGCAGTGTAGGACAAAAGTGAGGCTTCCCACCTGCTAGACAGGTGTCTCAACACATAGAAGCAAGAGTGTTACATCACTTCAGCTTTCAATGCGAAACATGTTGTCACTTTCACACCTGCAAATCATGCTGCTTTTCCATATTTTTGTCCAACCTCTGTACTTCTTGGAATCCATCTGCCCTTAGCTCAGGCATGCATGTGGGAGGGTGTGCTTAGCTTCTCCCTTCTCCCCTCCTGGAACGTTACAGCTTTGCTAGTCCTGCACTGTAAGTGAAGGTAAGTAATATAGCACCTACTGCAACTGCCTAGAGCCAACAAGCTTTAAAAGATAAGTTCACCTTTTAGACAAAAATAATAAATGCACTTTCTTTGCCGGTAAAAAAAAAAGTGCATTTATTATTTTTGTCTACAGGAGCCTGAAAAGCATTGCATCAGTGATCAGTGGATCGCTGATGCCATGTAGGTCTCCGCAGACCTGTCAGGATATATGCTTGCCGTACGGGATGTACTAGCAAGCAGATATTGTAACAGGAAGCTTCAATGAACTACCATGGCGCTCTGCAGCGCTGTGGTACTTCACTGAAAACTACAATCAGACAGCAGCCAAGGCTGTCGGGACTTGCAGTTCACTCATTTACGGAAGTCCGTGAATGAATGATGAGGCCGTGTGGGCGGAGCCCTGTACAACCGCGCTGTTTTTTAGAATTTGACAGATAATACAGGAAGACTTCTCCTGTACTATCTGTCAAAGGGGGCGGGGGCAGCTGCTGCGGCTATGGGAACATGTTACATGTTACACCCCCTAAAAGCGGGTGGAACATGTAACATTTTCCAAAAGGTGTACTTATCCCTTAAACCTTGCAGTGCAGGGGAACCTACAGTGAGTTTGATTTTTGTTCTGCTAAGGGTTGGGCTTTAGTTATGAATTTTTGGTACTATGACCATAATTAAAATTTACTGTATAAGTGTATCTACAGCCAGAACCATTTTTTTTTAATGTAGCATGGAAGGGTTAGACTTCCTTTCAGGTTTTTTTTTTTATTTATTTATTGCTGCCTGTGTCCCCACTGGTAAATATAAACCCTATCCAGTCCTGACTACCACTGCTCCTGGACAAAAAGTGATATGAAATTAAAACTTTTACACTTCAATCTTGTATTGAAAAAATCTGTTTCAGAAACAACTGTCTAAGAGGGATCCCCTTCTCACTTTGGAAGTTTTTTCTTCATTTCCTGTTGTATCTCCAGGAGAGGCCATGAAGGGACATCTCCCCAATAGGGATGAACTCAGGTTTGGTCTGAACTTGGGTTTGGGCTGAATCAGGAAGGAAATGGTCACTCCTTCCTGCTGTTACTCAATCAACTGAAGCCAGGGGAATTCCTGCTGCATATATATGAAGGGATGGGGATGCTCATTACATTATGTGACCTTATGTGGCCACATGCTCATTCCTAATCCCCAATGGAGCCAAAATGGGGTGGGGGAATCATTTCTGGCTTTTGATTCACTTTAATATTGAATGCAGCATATCCAGTATTTTATTTAAATATACCTTTGAGCATTCATGGAAGTAATGCAGTTGTCAGATACGATGTTCTCTATTTTACCTGTGGTGTTCGCATTAGTGAAAATTCCGGTGCATGCATTCCAACAAGGGAGCAGATACGACAAAGTTCAGAAACTAGCGTGACCAGAGGTTGTGGAAGAAGAGGTGGGCGCTTTATTTCTGGGTTAGGTACATTGAAAAATGGTCCTGCACCCTGTGCTCTGTTCATATGAGCAGCTGCAACAGAACACAGAAATTAACAAATGATTTACCACCCACAAGCTCACAGTGATGCACAAAGAAGACAGCACAGGTAAGTAATGCTCTCATATTTTACTTCAACTCAAATCTCACTTTTACAGCTTGGAAAATGAGAAAAAAAAATAATGTTGATGCACATGATTCAGACACATTTTGTTTTGCATCAAACGTATCCCATGCTTTAGTACACAATTAGCAGAAGACAACATCACTTTGTTTCAGTGCTGCAGCTTCCTGTGCCACCTGCCTGCTCATTTGAAAGTCAGCATCATCACATTAGTATGTCACAGTCCAATAACTAGATAAGAGGACATAGGATGCTCTAAAGTTAAAACAGCATAAAGTGCACCTGCGTGTCTAAGGAATGTAGCAGAGATGAATGAATTACAGGACTGTCTAAACCTTTTGTCAGGTAGGTAAAAAAAAAAAAAAAAAAAAAAAATCACAGATAGGTATTCCAACAGTCTACTCAGAAGTTTGCCTGGAACTCTTATTTAAGCAATAATCCTGCCACTAATTCCGTTTTTTTTTTTTAAAAGATGAATGCATTGTTCTATATATCGTTAACTAAACAAGCCTTTATATCAGTGATATACAGCGAGGAACAGAAGTATTTGAACACCCTGCGATTTTGCAAGTTCTCCCACTTAGAAATCATGGAGGGGTCTGAAATTCACATTGTAGGTGCATTCCCACTCTGAGAGACAGAATTAAAAAAAAAATTCAGGAAATCACATTGTATGATTTTTAAAGAATTTATTTGTCTTGCACTGCTGAACATAAGTATTTGAACACCTGAGAAAATCAGTGTTAATATTTGGTACAGAAGCCTTTGTTTGCAATTACAGAGGTCAAATGTTTCCTGTAGTTCTTGACCAGGTTTTCACACACTGCAACAGGGATTTTGGCCCACTCCTCCACACAGATCTCCTCTAGATCTGTCAGGTTTCGGGGCTGTCGCTGAGCAACATGGAGTTTCAGCTCCCTCCAAAGATGTTCTATTGGATTTAGGTCTGGAGACTGGCTTCTGGAGATATGCTTCTTACGGAGCCACTCCTTGGTTATCCTGGCTGTGTGCTTCGGGTCGTTGTCATGTTGGAACACCCAGCCACGACCCATCTTCAATGCTCTGACTGAGGGAAGGAGGTTGTTGCTCAAAATCTCACAATAAATGGCCCCATTCATCCTCTCCTTAATACAGTGCAGTTGTCCTGTCCCCTTCGCAGAAAAGCACCCCCAAAGCATGATGTTACCACCCCCATGCTTCACAGTAGGGATGGTGTTCTTGGGATGCAACTCATCCTTTTTCCTCCAAACACGATGAGTGAAGTTTAGACCAAAAAGTTCTACTTTGGTCTCATCTGACCACATGACTTTCTCCCATGCCTCCTCTGGATCATCCAGATGGTCATTGGCAAACAGGCGGGCCTGGACATGTGATGACTTGAGCAGGGGAACCTTCCATGCAATGCATGATTTGGAACCATGACGGCGTAGTGTTCTACCGACAGCGACCTTTGAAACTGTGATCCCAGCTCTCTTCATGCCATTGACCAGCTCCTCCCTTGTAGTTCTGGGCTGATTCCTCACCTTTCTTATCATCAGTGATACCCCACGAGGTGAGATCTTGCATGGAGCCCCAGTCCGAGGAAGACTGACTGTCGTCTTTAGCCTCTTCCATCCATTTTCTAAAAATTGCTCCAACAGTTGATCTATTTTCACCAAGCTGCTTGGCAATTGCCCCATAGACCTTTCCAACCTTGTAGAGGTCCACAATTTTGTCTCTGGTGTCTTTTGACAGCTCTTTGGTCTTGCCCATGGTAGTATTTGGCGTCTGACTGACTGTGGGGTGGACAGGTGTCTTTAAAGAGCTCAGACAGGTGCTACTAAGTTAGATTAATGAATGGAGTAGAGTTGGACTTTTTAAAGGCACAGTAACAGGTCTTTGAGAGCCAGAATTCTTGCTGTTTCTTAGGTGTTCAAATACTTATGTTCAGCAGTGCAAGACAAATAAATTCTTTAAAAATCATACAAATGTGATTTCCGGATTTGTTTTTTTTCTACTTCTGTCTCTCAGAGTGGGAATGCACATACAATGTGAATTTCAGACCCCTCCATGATTTCTAAGTGGGAGAACTTGCAAAATCGCAGGGTGTTCAAATACTTCTGTTCCTCACTGTATAAAATAATTGACCCCAGATTTACAACATAAAAATTAAGGGTAGGAGCATATGGATGATTTGTAGTATTGATAGTGTAGATACACCAATAACATTGCCAGTTATTAATCAATAAGAGTAGCTGACCCCTCACTGTGTATGGTGCCACTTACTCTGTGTGTTGACCAAGGTATACTCTAGTGATTTTAATAGTGCAACTGTGCTACAAAAATTGTTCACTAGCTTTACTATGTCAATTAACTAAGGTATTCTGCAACAAACTAAATTTATAGCATAACTGCGCTCTACATGAAAAGCACCTAATTGTAATTTTTAACTCCTTTTATTGCAATCTATTGTGGTACAAAGGAAGTCTTGAAACATTCTAGTTATACTGTCACCTACAGAAAGATCAGACACTGGGGTTGATTTATTAAAACTGCAGAATTCAGAATCTAATGCAGCTGTGCATGGTAGCCAATAAGCTTCTAAGTTCAGCTTGTTCATTTAAGTTTTGACGATAAAACCTGGAAGTTGATTGGTTTTTTTATGCAAAGCTGCACCATATTTTGCACGTTTCAGTTTTAGTAAATCTTTCCCACTGTCGACAAAAAAACAAAAACCTGTAGGCCAGACCAGGATTTAACCCCTATTACTACCAGCATTTGTAGCAAAGCAGTACCAAGAGCATGATCTAAACAAGGTGTGTGTGGATGAGGGAGTACCTGTGTTCCTCAATGGACTCCAAGAAAAGGATTTTATGATTACTAAAAAAAATCCCATTTTCTTTCCCGTCCATTGAGGAACAATGGCGTTCCAAAATCTTCAAAATCAGTCCAAATAAAGGGTGAACAACAGCAATTTCTAACATGTTCAACTTAACAACAAAAACTGAGGACTGTCAACAGCAGAACTAAAAGGATGTTAATAAAAACTGTAATAAGCCTTCCGATTGCCCCTAAAGCTGAACCTTATTAATACTGTAAGCCAAGAGTATTGAATTACAGTCCACGGAGGTCCGGTCGGTAACATTTTCTTGGAGCAGAGGTCTGAATAACATATTTGTACGATTACACAGATCCATCGCAGCCCCCCCCCCCCCACATTTATATCGCAGTTCCCTTCTTACATCAGTGTAATCAGTTCCCCCCTTAACATCACAGTTACTCCCCCTTCATGTCACAGTCCTCCCATCACAGTCCCCCCTTCTTTATGTCACAGTTCCTCCTTCACATTAATGCGACCCACCCCGTTTGCCACCCCTTCATAGCACTGTCCTGAGTCCCTCTTTATAGCAGTGTCCTGAGCCCCTTTTTATAGCAGTATACTGAGCCCCTCTTTATAGCAATGTCCTTACCCCTTTTTATGGCAGTGTCTCATCTCCCCCCTTCCCTTTCACAGCAGAATTTCAGTCCTACCTTACACAGGGCAGGTCTGGACAAAGGGACAGAGCTGTCCGACTTTTCTTGTTAACAAGCTGGTGACTGGTTGCTAGGACTGCCCAGCGTCCTAGCAACCAATCTCCAATTTGCAGCTCCTGCCCTCCGTCCAGAACTGCCATCTCTCCTGCAAGGATCACAGCACGGCAACTCTGTAGAAAGAAGCTGCAGAGGGATGTACGTGGTAGCCGGGTCAGAAAGAAAGACAGACCCTGCTCCTAAATGGCAGGACCTCGACGGTCTGGATGGGACTGTCACTTGGTCCGGATGTGGACCGTGGTCTGCCATTTAATGATGTCTGTTGTAAGCTATATCATATATAGAAACGCATCCTCTGTGCATGTTATTTTTTTTCATTTCTGGTTCTGTGCACCTGTGCTAGATCTGCAGGCGCATGCAAAGTCAAACAGGAGACTAGATCGCAAAAACTACATTTCCCAGGTTTCTCACTCCTGTGCTGTAACTATACAGGATTGATCTTATTACAAGAACAAGCCTCCTGTCCTGCCACTTGTGTATACAGCTTAGGATTCTCTCTATGAAAGAAAGCGGGTGAAAATTGTCCCGCACGCTTCACACAAATTAGAGACTTATGCAATTCAGAAGTGTGCCAAAACCACACCCACGAAAAATCCCTTGAGGAGGAAGTCCCTAGAGTCACATCAGGCAACATATCCCGCCAAAGTCTGATGATATATCTTGCAGAAAATGGATTTTACAGCCTTAAACATCGTAGGAATCACAGGCTCAGGGATGCCCATCTAGAATCTGGCTTCAATTTCCATGCTGCCAAAGCAAGCAAGCAGGAATCAGGATGGGTCAGTAGCACCTATGGTGTGTCCGCTAGAAGTCTTACCAGGTTGGCCTATCACATCCGCACAAGTCCATCTTAAGCAATGAATATCCTCTATCTTGATGCTGTAAAGCAGGTGAGGACATTTTTAGGCAACAAAAGGCATAAAACAAGGTTGTTACACAGGTCCTGGAACACCTCCAGGTATAGAGACCATAGTTCCCAGGTCCAGCCACTACCAGTTGAGTAAATATGCCTCCCAAATGTCTATGCCCATAGTGAGACACAGCTGACAAGGCTAAAACACAAAGTTCTGCCCAGGAAAGGATCCCCTCTACCTTTCTTTCTGCAGAAATACTCCTGGTTCTTCCCAGATGACTGATGTACATCATTGCTGTGACATTGTTTGACTGAATCCACATGAAAAGGCCCTGCAACAGGACAGCCCAATCTCCTGAAGTTCCAGGCTAAATTTTTGAGCCACCAAACCAAAGAAAGCCTTGTCGTCAACTGAATCAGCCTGTCCAGAAACCACATTGATGTGTCCCACAATAACAGAATATTGTGTTGCAGATGCCTGGAGCGAAAATGGGCAATAACAACCATTCCAAAGGATGCTACCATCAGCTCTAAGACTCTCATGAAGAAGCTGAGAGTCAAATGGCTTCTAGAATGAAGAAAAGAATCCCAAGTCTGGAGAGTCTGAAGCTTATCCTAAGAAAGGCTCACTATGGCCCGCAACATGTCCAGGGCTAGACCCAGATACTCCAATTGATGAGTTGGTACTCAAGTGCTCTTGCAACTGGTAACATCCTTGAGGAGAGCATTAAGCACTGCTCTACAGAGGAGCTGTTCCTTGAAGGCCATGCAGATCAAACAATTCTAACAATACAGTACCACAGTCTGGCACTTTAGCCAAAGTGCCCTACACGCATGTACTAACAGAAGACACATGCAAGAAATAAGGAAGGAGCCTTCTAGTTAACCATCACAACTGTGTTCAAAGAGCAGAGGGTCAAGGGTGGCAAGTTCCCTTTAAGGGATTTTGCCCAGTCAGATATGGTTTGACAAAGTAAAGTCATGGCCAGAATAGGGTGCAGGGCGGGATATGTCAATAAAAACGTCCTTAAAAGCACACGCATCCACCAGTAGTATAGAAGTCACCTCGTTAATGTGGAACATGGTCAGATTTACAATGGGCATTTCTGAATAAAATCCACACCAAACAGATACCAGGCCAGCAAACACAGCCTATCAGGGCAATTCCAATCCTCGAATAGCAACAGTTGGAAAAAGTCTTAGCAGTCTTAGGGGCCCAATACAATCCAAAGCTGAAAGCATCATCGGCAGAAGTGACAGGCTGATCCACTAGCTGCAGGGTGGTGTGCAACTCATCAATAAAAGACAAAATGGTGTCCTTTAACTTGGGAATAATAGCAGACGTCAACTCCTTAATGGTAAGCTCATAAGACAAACATTTGAGAAACTCAGAATCAAGAGTATTTTAAGCCGATGGCTCAGAAGCTGCCAAGGCTTGAGGGTAAATCAAATAAAGAATCTGCTGGAAATGGTCAGGGAACATGCTTGTGGCCTTGCAGGACCATCGTAAAAACCACAGTTGAGAGGGCAGAGGACCAAGCTTTACCTAATTGGGCCAAGGAGGACTCTGAAGACAGAAGACATTAACAGAAGAAAGAGGAAAGCATGACTCCAGGCTGTAGATGTCTGCAACATCAATAAATGCTCTACAAAAAGTTCCTGACCAATTAGTACAATTAGGCACCCAGTACAGCAGGATGGTCTTACCCATGTCTAAATGTACAGGCTCAGGGTAAGACCTCAAGCACTCATGAAACACAGACAGCTGGTAGCAGGTGAGGGTCAGTGATCAGAGGTTCGGATTGTCAGAGGTGACCAAAATCACTGTAGGCAGGCAGAAAGAATAGATCAAATTTCCATTTTGCTCTTTACAAAAACAGCACCAGGGAGAGGCTTCCACGATGCTGTATAGCAAGAAAGAGAGTGCGTGTGGGGGAGGGAGCTTCCAGTGCTTGGCCTGGCCAGCCTATGCCCCAAGTGCATCTTTTGAGACAGGGCAAGCGCAGAGGCAATGCCCATGGCTCTACAGCAGAAAAGTTCTCTGCAGCTAACTTAACCAGAACTGAGCCTGAAAGATTCTCCACACAAAACCCATTGCCTGAAGATCAATTCCAGACACAAACCACAACACCTGGTCAAGTGGGATCTGGATGCGGTACTTCCAAAAGACAGGTTGAGGATAGCCACATCGAAGAGTTGCAAATCAGAAGGGACACCATCAGCAGCCGTGTAGAGATGAGTCTTGAATGAAGAAAAAAAATTTAAATAAAATTGCTACCAAAACACAGATGGTCTTGAGGTAGTCTACAACAGAGCTGAAAAAAGATGTCCATTCTCCTAGGACACCAACAAACAACTGAAGCATGCTGGTGGTAGGAGAGGGTTATACCCTGGACTTGCCTGCACTTTTTTGTTGACCCATGTCCAATCCTCCTATAGGTATAACCTGTATAACCTGAAGGTTTAAGACTTCCAATGTTATGCAACGAACAAAAAAAGAAATACCAACCTAAAGAAAAACTAAAGTCAAACTTTGTTTTTTAGTTTTGGATAGTGGACTTGGATTAAAACAGCTCTCAGGTTTTTACTGCTATCTGTGTGTCTGTTAAGAAGATTCACCCTCTCTACACCCTGTTCCAAATTATTATGCAAATTATATTTTTCTCATTTACCTAAATAATTGATGTAAATAACAGTCAGCATAATTCTCATGTTATCAACTATTAAGAGTACAATTCACATTTTATTGAACAAACCTCCTAATAACAGTATTTTTTTTAAACATAAACTTACAATACACTGTTCCAAATTATTACGCACAGTAAGTTTCAAAACACTTTATAGGTTGTAAAGAACTGAAAATTGTCATTTGTTGTGTTTGCAGCATATTTACTGAAATCAAAAGCTATTATAATCAAACTTTTAACAACATTTTAACTTTTTAAACATTTTAACAGGTCACATTACATTGTAACATAGGACCCCTTATTTGATAGCAGCTTCACAAGTCTTGCATCCACTGAACTTGTGAGTTTTTGGACAGTTTCTGCTTGAATTTGTTTGCAAGATGTCAGAATAGCCTCCCAGAGCTGCTGTTTGGATGTAAACTGCCTCCCACCCTCATATGTCTTTTGCTTGAGGATGCTCCAAAGGTTCTCAATAGGATTGAGGTCAGGGGAGGATGGAGGCCTCACCATGACTTTCTCTCCTTTTATCCTCATAACAGCCATTGATGCAGAGGTATTCTTTGCAGCATGAGATGGTGCATTGTCATGCATGAAGATGATTTTATTACGGAAAGCATAGTTCTTCCTTCTGTACCAGGGAAGAAAGTGGTCAGTCATAAACTCCACATACTTTGCAGAGGTCATCTTTACACCTTCGGGGACCCTAAAGTGGCTAACCAGCTCTGTTCCCATGTTTCTGGCCCAAAACATGACTCCACCACCGTCTTGCTGACGTCGCAGCCTTGTTGGAACAAGGTAGCCATCCACCAACTACTCCATCCATCTGGACCATCCCGGGTTGCACGGCACTCATCAGTGAACAGGACTGTTTGAAAATTAGTCTTAATTTATTTTTCTGCCCAATGCAGCCGTTTCTGCTTGTGAGCATTGGTTAGCGGTGGCCAAATAGAAGGTTTATGCACAGTTGCAAGACTCTGAAGGACTCTACACCTTGATGTCCGTGGGACTCCAGAGACACCAGCAGCTTCAAATATCTGTTTGCTGCTATGTAATGGTATTTTAGCAGCTGCTCTCTTGATCCGATGCATGGATCTGGCAGAAATCTTCCTCAATGTGCCTTTATCTGCACGAACCTGTCTGTGCTCTGAATCAGCCACAAATATCTTAAATGTGCGATGATCACGCTTAAGTTTTCGTGAAATATCTAATGTATTCATACCTCGTTCAAGGCATTGAACTATTTCACTCTTTTCGGCAGCAGAGAAATCCTTTTTCTTCCCCATATTGCTTGAAAATGGTGCTCTGCTTAATAATGTGGAACACCCTCCTTTAGTAGTTTTTCCTTAAATTGGGCTCACCTGCCAATCTAATTATTACAGGTGTCCGAGATTGTTTTCAGTGATCAAAAGAGCCCTGACACACAATGCCATCCATGAGTTAAACTGAGAAACAAAATATTTAATCTTTGTGACTTAAATGTAATTTGCATAATCATTTGGAACAGGATGTATATCTGTACTGTTCACCAATATCAATGAAAGTGAAAGCTAAAAAAAAAAAAATCCAAAATTTTGTGTTGTCACCAGACCAGGAGACCCTGATGAAAATCAGGGATTCTCTCTCTTTGGAGGGAATTTCTCTCTTGATTATAGAACAGGAAGTGAAGGGACATCTCCTTAATTGGACAGAGATGGCAAAAAACCTGACAGGAGTTATAACGCTCCCTTATTCCATCCAAACTAAAAGTTTTGCCTTTAGTTCTACTTTAATAGTAATGGGTTGTGGCTCCTATATGAACATCCTGCAATATCGGGAAGATGTTTCTTGACAGCTATTACAACATAATGTGGTGACGTACCCATCTGTTTGGTTTGCTTGTGCTGTCCAGGTGTTGTCACAGGATCCTTTCTAAAGTCTTTTTGCTGACTGGAACTGTCATTGGTGTCAATCTTCAATATTTCCTTTAGCATTTGGGTTCCTTTCTAATGGTGTAATAAAAATACAAAAAAATACTATATTATTGCAATAATTCGCAATTGTAAAGGCTTTTTCAGATCAATCATATACCGTATTTTTCCCTCCATAAGACAAACTTCCCCCCCCCCCCCAAAATGGGGGGAAATGTCTGTGTATCTTACGGAGCGAATATGGAGTGGCCCGCTGCCGCCATGTTAGAATACCGGGCTGGCCGCTTGGCTCTTCTGTGCAGCAGAACCTGCTCCTCGGTCCAGCGGTGTCCTCACCGTCTTTTCTCCCCGGCATCTTTAGTGTGGGCACCCGGCTGTGACAGCTTGCAGCTTTACAGCTGGGTGCCCACTGTGCAAGCGCGAGAAGCTTTGTGAATGGTCCAACAGTCTTCTGGGACCTGTCACGTGTCCCAGAAGATGGGGAGGGAGGACAACTCTGAGGAAGTGGGTACCGGTCAAATTCGGGTACCCGCACTCCCCCCCTTCCGCTCCCCAAAAGGTCTGCAGTTTCTGGTCATCTCCTGTACTATGTCCGCAGTCTCTGGTCATCTCCTGTAGTACGTCCGTAGTCTCTGGTCATCTCCTGTACTATGTCCGCAGTCTCTGGTCATCTCCTGTACTATGTCCGCAGTCTCTGGTCATCTCCTGTACTATGTCCGCAGTCTCTGGTCATCTCCTGTAGTACGCCCGCAGTCTCTGGTCATCTCCTGTAGTACGCCCGCAGTCTCTGGTCATCTCCTGTAATACGCCCCCAGTCTCTGGTCATCTCCTGTAGTACGCCCGCAGTCTCTGGTCATCTCCTGTATTACGCCCGCAGTCTCTGGTCATCTCCTGTAGTACGCCCGCAGTCTCTGGTCATCTCCTGTAGTACGCCCGCAGTCTCTGGTCATCTCCTGTACTGTGTCCGTAGTCTCTGGTCATCTCCTGTAGTACGCCCGCAGTCTCTAGTCAGCTCCTGTAGTTAGCCCGCAGTCTCTAGTCAGCTCCTGTAGAACGTCCGCAGTCCCTGGTCATCTCCTGTAGTACGTCCGCAGTTTCTGGTCATCTCCTGTACTATGTCCGTAGTCTCAGGTCATCTCCTGTACTATGTCTGCAGTCTCTGGTCATCTCCTGTACTACGTCCGTAGTCTCTGGTCATCTCCTGTACTGTGTCCGTAGTCTCTGGTCATCTCCTGTACTATGTCCGCAGTCTCTGGTCATCTCCTGTACTATGTCTGCAGTCCATTGGTTCAGAATATTTTTTTTCTTGTTTTTCTCCTCTAAAACCTAGGTGTGTCTTATGGAGCAAATATTACGGTATGTGGGAAACCTTTTTGTGTGTTTCTTATGCAAAGGGGTGGGTGCTATCCCTCTAGTCAATGCAGATCAGAAGAATTTTGAGGTCAGTGGGTAGAACAGCCTGAAGCTGTGTTGTTCAGGTAAAACAAGGGCAGCTATAAATAATTGGGTAGCATTACATGTGCAGGTCCCATCTGAAATGTTCTTTGGTAGGTGTCTGCCGACAATGACTCCAGCCATTTACCACAGGTACACAGATTAGTGGTCTCCTCTCTAAATAAATACAACTATGAGGTTGTAATTTGCAGGAGGTTGAAGTACAATTCTAGTTAACACAAATTGTAAAAGAAGCAGAATATTTGGCATTGGCACATACTAACCATTGCAAAGGACTGTGGTGACAAATGCTCTTCTGTGGTAACATGAACCTCTCTGCTGGGTGTGGCTGGGGTTTGATCCTGTCCAGACAGGTTCAGTGATGCAACAAATTTTTCAAACTCATTGTTTTGCTGAAAGCAAAAAAAACACAAAAATCGAAGTGGAACCAATCAGTGACTGCACTTTTACAATGAAATACAATTTCAATTTGATCAAGATTTAAATAATTAATGGTGAGAACAGAAGTACCTTTGCCTCTAAGATGCTGTCACTGCTGTTTATCTGTACCTCATTAGGAAGGTCACTTCTCCTCAAAAGCTTGATTTGTGTTACAGGCTCAGAGATATTCTGCAAAACATACACATCTATAGAATGGCGCATGCTAACATATATACAGTATATGTACATACATGTACATAAATATAAAATGCACTTCACAATGAACTCCAGGCTCTTACATTTTTAAAAAAAAAAGTAGCATAACTTAGAGGCACTAGGCTGTAACAGAAACATGCATATAAAAAAAAAGTGTAACTTACTGGTTTAAAGGCTAAGTTCAATAATATTTTTGCCGGTAAAAAAATGCATTTATTATTTTTTTTCTTAGGCAGCTGTAAAGCATTGCACATGTGGTTAGCAGGTCACCGGTGCAATGTCAGGCTCCTGCAGACTAACAGTACACTGCACATGGCCTGACTGAGTTGCTTGACATATGCAGCCAATGAAGAGTACAGTGTGCCGTATTGGAAATAGCTGAGAGGCAATAAGGTCCAAAAGGTGAAGTGGAAAAGGGCAGTTCCTACATCAGGCTTTTGTTGTTTGTAAAGAAGAATACCGCAGGTTTAGCAGGCGAGCAATCTGGCATTGTTTTTATCTGGACTTAAGCTTTAAGAGATGTAATCCCTTGTTAAACCTGCTTTTTCACCACATATTTTTTACCATACAGTTGGCCCTGAACCTACTCTTCTGGGGTCCCCCACCAGTATGCTCTGCTTCTCGTCTTCTGTGTCTGCCCCCATAGCAAGCGGCTTGCTATGGGAGCAGATGTGGGCTTGCTCCCGAGTCAGACTGTTTGTGTCCATAGTCACACACACAGAAAGGCTTGGCTTCACCCCTGCTCCCTCCTCACTGGATTTGATTGACAAAATAAAATAAAAAAGAGGTTTATACTTACCTGCTCTGTGCATAGGTATAGCACAGAGCATCCCCGAATTTCTTCTTCTGGGGTACCACCACCAGTGCTCTCTGTTTCTCCTCTTCTGTGTCTGCCCCCCATAGCAAGTGGGTTACTACGGCAGTAGAAGTGTAGGCTCGCTCCTGACCCGAGCTGTTTGTGTGCATAGACACACACAACATGGCTTGGCCCCGCCTCTCCTTACTGGACCTGACTTGACAGCGCAGGAGCCAATGGCTTCTTCTGCTAATAATCTGCCCTATGAGACCAGAAAGAAAGAGGATTAATACAGGACTCGGTATGTATTAGGGAGAGGAGAAAAGCAAACAGGTAGTGAAAGGTTTTTTGTACCCTAATGTAGGTAATACATTAACAATTTTGTGTCTTCGGAGCAACTTTAAACTCAAATTTAAAGTGACATTGGGCCTAAGACTGAACATTTACCAGGTACCAGTGCACAAAAATAATATGTTCATTTTAAAAAGCACTTTTTTTTTTTAAATTAAAACATTGTCTAGGTCATTGGCCTAGTTACCACTCAACACTGGCTTCTTGCACCACTAATGAAAATCCAATTTCATTCAAAGTAATATTAGATAAAGGTCTGGGAGCCCTGCTATAAAATAACAGCTATGCAATAAAATATATACTTAAATCAGACTTAAGATCGGAAGTTCTGCTTATCCTACTCCACCATCCCTCCCTCCTCCCTGACACTAACGCAAACATTTTATATCCGGCTTTTTGCAGTCAACATTGCGGCGCTGGTGACACGAAAACCAGCGAAGAACTGGACTGGGTGAGGACAGTGCTGGTTCCCTAGACTGGTAAGTGTGTGTTTATTAAAAGAACGGCAGATACAGTATTTCTAGCTGATGACTTCTAATTTATTTTTTTTAATTAAGATCCTCTTTAGAATTGGTGCGTTTTAGTTTGTGTTCTGTGTAACTAAGTAAAATTTGCACTTTTACCAGGAATGTCAAAAGTTCAAATGTTTTGCCAAAAACTATAAATAGGTTGTGCTGTAAAAAGAAACAACACTATACTGTACTTGTTTAGTATTAACTCACATGAACAGTCCACAAATGAAATGTGGTTTCTTCCTTTTGACTGGAAATTGTCCTACCTGTTTAGTTAATACATCTTGATGCTGGTTCTCTTGTTTTGAATATTCAAAATCTAGCTTTCCTAGAACAAGTAAAAATAAGTATTACATTTAGAGGTGAATCTCAAAAGTGTGTATTTTACAGATTTCTAAAGAACGTCAAGCAAAGACAAAAACAAGGCACTTTCTTAAAATAAACTTTATATAAAAACAGAGGGGTCAGAAATGATACAATCTAGGTTTGGATTGTCAGAAAAGGAACTTTTTCCCCAAAAGTAAATTCCTTGGTGACTTGAACTAATTGAACAAATTTTCCAACAATCGATTGTGATCGTGAGAAATCAATCATCCCTGCTGAACCGGGCAAACGTCAATCCATCTATGGCCAGCTTACCATAAAAGGAACGCAATGGCTATATGTGTAAACTGCATTCTGGAGTAAAGAAAGGGAATGTTCAGCTACAGTACTCCTGCAAAAGTAATCAGAAGAGGAGAGCAATGGGAAAATCTTTCTGATGAGGAACTGGGACACAGACAACAATAAACATCTAATTTATGATTCCCTCCACTCTAATCAAAACTCTTTGGCTGGAGTTACAATTTAAACACCTCCAATTGCAAAATAGTATGTGATACTATCTACTTCTAAAGAATCTTTACATCTAGATATTAGGACACATGGTGTGGCCAGAACACAGCGTGGGTGTACTGCATACATGACCAGAAGGTGTAGTCCTTTGTAGCACAGTCTCTACCGCCGTTACAAAGTACAGTAGCAGGCCGAAGTAGAAAGAAAACTAATAGCAGCTCAAAAAAGCTCCAGACATAAAAACTAGACATGTTCATTTATACCCTCCACTCCATAGAGGAGAATGGAGGGTCAGATCAGGTCCACCTGAAAAACTGACAGGTGGCCCCAATCGGTCTGCTCATGTGAAAGGGGACTAATAGGTTTTCTGGATGGCTTGGACCTGTCTTAGTTGACTATCTGCCCTTTAGTTGCTAATGATCTGAAAATAAAAAAAATGGATAATAAAAGTATTCTATCAAATGTCTGTACTCATGTTCTGTGGTAACTTTTCTGCAAACAAAATACGTACATGCACATTGCAAAATACATACATGCACATTCACAAACTTGTTTTTTTTAACAATAATGTGGTAAAGTACAGGGGTTGGTTTAGGAAGTAAGCAGGGACTGTTCACTTAGCAAAGTGAATATTTACCCTACAAAAGTGAATAGTCAGAGATTGGAAAATAAAGTGCATCTGTGGTCACTTTAATCAACCAAGTCTGCAAAGAATGTTGCTCATGCAATGGCGTGAGTGCCTTTCTGTGCCTCCAGTGGATAGGAGCATGATAGCCTAGGCTCATAGGAAGTGAGGTGAACAATACAAGCTGTCATTCAAAGCAGAAGAGCAGAACCATCTTGAAGGAGGGGAGGACTTTCTGTGAAGGACAGCAGAGTATTGTAGGTGAATACTGTAGAGCTGCTTTTTTACATTTACTACTTCTGGACATTCTTTCTCCATTTATTTTAAAGCGTTCTTCTTTAAACGCCAGTTCACACCACAAAAAAATGCATTCTGGATATGGTATTGCTTTCAGTTCACACCACACTCTATTATGGGGCAGTTTTGATGCAGTTTGCTATGCTCCAGTATGGTTCTATGCAGAAAAAAATGCAGCATGTTCTATTTTTTTTTTCCGCACCGGAAACTGACAGGAACTGACTGCACTGGTGTGAACTAGGGCCATTGGAATACATGGAAAATACCATGCATGCATTTTTGATGAAGAAAAACAACACACTGGACTGCATCGAATGTGAACTAGCCCTAGTCTGTATATAGTGCAATGAAGTAACAGTTTAATAAATACCTTTTCGTGTGGAATCCGGCTTCTTTTGCTGGCTTTTTGAGGTATTTTCACCAGAACCTGGTTTGTGAAACTGATGGGCATTTTGGCCAAAGTTCTTTTCCTGAGGTAGACACTAAAACATATTTACACAAGAACATTTAAAAGGGATAAAGAGTTAAAGGGCACCAAACTGCATGCTACACTTCTGTCAATGTACCTTGTCATTCACATTTTGTGGCACTTGTGTTTTCCCAGAGGCTTGCAACATCTGCCACACATTGCTGAACTCATCATCTTGTTTATGCTGAAAATGAACACATTATACGCAAGTTATGTTCTGCAACAAAATAAAAACTCACAAAGTTTATAAACGTGTACTTGTGGCATGGAAAATGTTAATTTGATTTCTAATCAAACATATACAAATGCCTAAATTTAACACTGTCATTGGAAGTATGCATTACATGAAATATTTAACAGCAGGCTAGATTATTTTAAAAAAAAGTTATGTGAACTTAAAGCAGCCAGACTGCCACTATGGTCAGCCTGGCTACACGAACCAAAGCTGATGTTTGGTTGCTTACAGCAGTGGTTTACAGCACAACAGTGCTCTTTGCATATTTTGAAAAAATATACCCCAAGTACTAGTAAGAAAAAACAGATCACAGAGGAAGATCACGTGAAAATTATGTCTTGCGTGTTCAATAAACTGGATTACCTTCTGCTTCTGATTTCCTGGTGAATAACCTTTGTGTGGTGAACTGGTATTTCCCTGATATTGCTGCTTTCCACTAGGTTGCTAAATTACATAGACAAAAAAAAGTAAATGTTATTAAAATATATTTCAAAATGAACAAAACACACTCTGTCCCATTATAATGATGGATGGCTCTTTTCTGATTACTGATCAACATGTAAAGTATATTTGGGCTAGGTACAAGTGTACATATATAGCATTTAGCAGGAGACATACCTTTATGTGCTTCATTTGGCAAAATGCATGCACCACACTTTATGTAAATTTCTATATATTCATAAGATGTGGCTCATAAATTGCTGCTCTTGCAATAGTATTGTGACATTTTAGACATAGTTGTTACAGTTGTATTAGTATGAAGGCTGAATAATTAATGTTGCAGAAGTGTTTTTGTGTCTGCCAGCCCCCAATGTGTCTAGTCTGGTGCTCCAGAACTGATCTCTAGACAAATTTATTTTTAAAAGGGGCACAACATCTGCAAAGTTTTTATTGCTGTATTCTCATTAAAGGGCATTTCTGCTCATGTCTAAAGCAGTCCACCTCTCCAACAGAGGCACAAAAGATAAATAAAATCTAAAAATAAATATTTGAAAGTACAGTAAAGAAGGGTTAGATACACCGTCCAGTATGTACTGCTTAAAACCAGTACATGGGTGGCACTGAATCCCCAGAAAGGGCACAGTTCCAGGAAAAAAGTGGAGTAGATAAGATTGTTGAGTATTTGCACTAAGCAATCAGATTGCAAATACAGAAGAGTCTTAGAAGCCTTTAATGCTGAAAATAGAAAAAAAGCGAAGGAGCACCACATTTGCAAGTTAGTTTATTGTATATTTTATTGGAAACCATTTTTTTTTAGTACTGTTAGTATTGATTTAAGCCCTGATGAAGGGGGCATCCGCAAGCCCAAATAATGCGTTGGCTATGCCTGTGGAATTTAAGTGGAATATTTAAAGTAATAAATAAGTTTTAGACTCATTTTTGAGTGTGGTGCTCCTTTTACTTCAGATTTATACTGCTGTCTTTGTCCTAACTGTGGGGAATTCCCCTCACTTCGGGTATCAGTGGCGGAGCGACAGTATGTTACCAGAAGTGGAATGAAGGAAATATTCATTCTACTACACACATAAAAGAACCCTAAAACGCTTCACTATCTACAACAAAACAAAAATATTTTTTTTTAGATGGAGCTAGGTTTTAAATGTGCTTTCTGTATACTAACATTTTTGCAAGACAGATGAGGTTTACTTTTCTTTAAGTAAATGTCCTTCTATAGTTGATGGGAGTGACATTTTGCTGGAAGGAGAACTGTCATGAATGAAATTCATAGGCTGCCATTGCTGACCTGTTTCTGAAAACACTACTTTCTTCAGAGGAGTTAGAATTCTACATCTACACACGTATTCCAGCTCAGTAACTCGGAAGGAGTTAAAGTCAGAGGAACAGCAGCACAATCAGGCAACTAGCATTTTCAGAAGGAAACCAGCGATGTCATCTATCTAGTCATCAATGATCTTACCCGTGTGGGAACAAAGAGGGAACGAGGAGAATGGTTGAGGGCACCCAGCTGTCCTTTTTGTGATCCTCCAGCATATAATTCAGAAGAATAAGAAGCATGGTGATTAGTGGACGATTGCGGTTTTACTGTAGCGGTTAACTTCTGCCCTCCATTTTCTGTGCGAACACCATGAGAAAGGTTAATTAAGGCACTGGTTGGCATACGATAACCTTTAGACTGGGAACATCTGTAAGGACAAATGACATTGGACCATAAATGAATAAAGGAACATTGCATTCACAATGCAAAAGTATTAAAAAAATGTTGCTACATCAATACCTTATAATCAAGCCTCCAGGAAATTCTTCATCAAATAATACTTCAAGCAGGACATCTGCATCTCTTTCAGCTGCAAGTATATGAAATTGTAAAATATAATACCCTACATCTAGCAATGGCTATACAATACTGGTGAGTAGCATCAAGAGGATTTGGATTTTCTGCTTAGGATTCAATCCAAACTGGATTTAACTGTATGAACACAGACATCACACAAAACAACAGACAGCATATAACAGTTAGATTTACAATGTCCTACTTACCTCCTTTAATGCCAATAACAGTGCCCCTAAGTCCCACTGGAACAGAAAAGCTGTCCCGCACATTGACAATGCGGTCAAAAAGTCGAAACTCGGCATCTCTGTCTGGAAAAATCCCATGCTGCTGTTCAAGAGGCTGCCAACAGGAACAACAGCACTAAGCATCAAATGGCATAAAACATCTAACAATATGTATCTAAATATAAATAAATTATTTTCACAAATACAAAGAAATGCTAAGAGTTTTGGTAGTAATTTGTTTTGCGTTTTACTAGGTGTTTAAGGTTTGAAGTGAAGTTAAAAACTGTAGCCTGCATCTGATTAAATGTACAATAACATTGCTCTGAGACAGAGAATAGCTTACCCGAAACAATAAATGTGGTTTGACAGTCACTCGAACCTTTTTATTGCTCTTCTTGGTCTGAAAGAGAATTAAAAAATGTGTTACAGCTCCTATTACAGCTGTGTTACAGTTCCTATGAAAAGTATTCCCCTCCCATGGAAGATTTTATTTTTTACCAGTGCCACCCATCAAACACTGAATTGAAGCCAAACTACAAGCAAATCCCAAAAGACTGAGGACGTCCTGTAAATGCAGGGTGTTGTAGGCCCAACTAAACTGCAAGGATGCAAAGAGTGGCCCCAATATCATCATGTTATTGCTCTCTGCCTCACTGAATACTTTTTATAGGAACTGTAAATCACAAAACAATGGACTTGCTCTGACCAGCTGAAATATTAATTTCATGAAACAATCGGAGATCTGTTGTTTCCAAGCATGTTTAGTCCTACCTTACAATTTGCAACCTCCTCTTCAATTTTCTCCACAATGGCAGAATCTAGAATTTGCAAATCACATGACGACCGGGAGAGCATGCTGACAGGATGAGCCTTTAGCCAGGAGACAATCTCCTGAACTTTCTCTGCACTATGCACAAAAAAGCATGTGTTACACTTCAAGGAAGGTAGATTTTAACTGCAGCTCATACACTTTATTTTACTAACCCATTTTCATCCTCTCCTGGCCAGATATCATCCTCATAGAATATATCATCTTGGCTGTTTTTTGAAATGTATGTAAACAATTCAGGATACCTGGGGGGAAAAAGGATACTATCAGTCCACATGGAGAAACAAAATCAATTCTAAAAGTCTAGATCTAAAAATTGCTGCACCACAGATACATCTGTGAAACAGCCTAAAAAGTATTAAAAAGTTATAAGGGTGCCCTGAAATGCCTTGAAAAGTGACCCTCTTTCCCCAAAGTGTCAAACCTAACCAAACTGTTTGCAGACAAAGTTAAACCTAACCATTTTTTTTTTTTTAAATCTCCCAGGTATTATAGAAATATTATAGTTTAGAAAAAGCAACAGGTAAAGTGGGAACCTCCCTGCTGCTGTGGAAGAAAGACTATACAAAACACAGAGCCACAGAGAACATTAGTAGGGTTAATCCCAAAGAAATGTCCCCATTTAGCTCAAATACGAGAAAAATTGGCAGTTGAAGAGTGGAAATTTAAAGTTTCAAACCTACTATTAAAGTTGAACTCCAGGTTTATATTGACTGTAAATAGTGTGGGCCAAGCTGGCCCAAAATAACTATTTCCTTGACAAATACGTGCGCCTGCTGGAAGCGATGCATAAACTTTATTTAATAACAGGTAATGCAGTATACAGCACTGTGTTCCTGCAGCAGGACAGGGACCTCCGTTCTGTTCCAAGAACAAAATTGAGTCAGACTGAGATTGTGACATCATCTGTGCCTCTCCCCACCTCAGCCAATCCGAGGAAGCCTTGTATTCCTTCATAAAATACAAGGCTTCCTGTGAATGGCTGAGCAGCACTCGGCCCGACTCAACTTTGTTCCAGGAATGACTCAGGAGTGCCTGTCCCACTGCCAGATGACGACATTGTACATGGATGCTGATCCTAAATACAGTTTTGTACAGCTCTCCCAGTGGACATATCTGTTAGTCAAGGAAGTAGTTTGTTTGGGAAGGTCATCGTAAACCTGAAGTTTAAACTTTAGGCTGTGGGTGGTTCTGTCTTCCTGCCCAAAATACTTCAACTGCAAAACTGAAGGAGCCATGGGAAAAATTGTTGGTTTGACAGTGGCTGCACAAAATCAGATACTGCCACTGTTCAGGTTTTCTGACTGCTGCTGGCGACAGCTGTCAGAATACAACAACCCAACAGAAGGGATTCATCCAACCACACGGTTAGCGTGGATGGAGAAATCTGTTACATTTCGTACTGAAAAAAGAAACAAATTAATAGTGTATGGCCTGATTTACAGAGGCAGATGCTATGTCATCTTTAGCAGATAACGTACAGGTAACAGCAGAACAGAATGGACATGCATGTTTTACAATAGTGTACATAGCTCAGGGAGAGTAATCCTTATAAGTACCATCATCCCTATTACAAAAATCAAAGAAAGTACACAAACATTGGACTTTTATGTCATTAAAAGTTTACTGAACAAGAACAATAATGCTCCCTCTACAGCTGACCCATTCTGCCATATGTCACATAATGTGAGCTCTAAAATGCCTACAAATACAGTGACTGTCAAAACAGATAATGATCCTTGCCTATATTGAGAATCTCTGGATTTTCATGTATCTGAAATCTTTCCTTAGGAAATATAATGGAAGGATGGGGCAATTGTAGAGGGAGCATTGTTGTTAAAGGATATGAATGTGCAGGCCAGCCTTATATATTATAAGGAAAACCTTTTAAAGGCCAAGTTCCCCTCTAGCACCATGTTACATCTGTATTTTGAGTGCAACATAGTGCAAACAACCCCACACCCACACCCTCACACCAGGGTTCTTCTCCCTCGCAGCACCTGTCACTTTTAAATTGTGAGATAGAGATCTGTGAGATGAACTACAAGTCCCATCTTCCACAGTGAGAGAGAGACGTGTAGCTCTCAATGTACTTTGAGTGCTGTAATCCATGCATTTGTAGTCCACTGATACGTCCTCCAGCTCAAGGAGGTGGAGGAGTGGGCAAAGAGCTGAAGGAAGAGTTTGCAGAAGCCTGACGTTGCACCATGAGTGCAATAGTTTGCAGGCTCCTGTAAAAAATACTTTTTTTTTTCCTGAAAAAAAAAAATACAAATTTTTTTTTTAAAGGTGAACTTAGGCTTTAATGAAAAAATATAAATATATGAAATGTTAATATATCTGTATTGCATTGGCAACTGGAAAAAGTCCCACCTTTCTGCATTTTCTATCAGATTTTATTTTTGAAAATGTTTCCCTTTTTCAATATCAAACATACACAAAAAGTACACAACAAACAACAAAAACCAAAACCAAAATTCCTTACCCCCTTTTTTCTGCCCTCTCCTTTCCCTCTTTCATTCCCTTACTACTCAGTTGATCTGATAAAACGTTAACATCAGCAACACGTTTAATTTATTATTATTTAGTATTCCAAAAGTATTCCAGGGCCATCGATACACTATGTAGAAAAATTGGGAAAGACAGGCCAGCCTATTCTACAAGAACTACCTCTCTGAGAGCGTAAACTAGGTGCATGGAGCATCTATCCATTTTTGGATCCAGTCCCCAAGTGTAGGAGGGTTGGGTGAGACCAGTGGGAAATTAGCTTACGAGCCATAAAAAGTGATCTCATAATGGTGACTACCTGATTGTATTCTACATTGTTAGGGTTTATATACCCTAGGAGACATAGAATGGGATCTGGAGTCAACACAGTATTATAATAAACAGAGTTTATCATATCTATCACATCCTGCCAGTACCAGTGTAGTTTTGGGCACCTCCAAAACAAATGAATAAAGGAGCCAGAAGATTCAGTACATCTTGTGCATTCAGGGTTTGCCTTCCTGCCTATCCTGTGTAGCACTTCTGGGGATCGGTAAGACCTATGTAGGATAAAGAGTTGAGTGACTCTGAGTTGGAGACAATGAAACCAACTGAACATTCTTTATTATTTGATCCCATATGTCTCCTACAGCCATATCAACATCCATCTCCATACCTGATGAAGTCACGTGGTTCGTGACAATACGCATGGGGAAGAGCCAGGTGATGTCAGAGCTGGAACACTGCTAGCACGGTCAGAGACACTGCATAGTGTATTACAGCTTTTGTCACACTGCGTTTTTTTTTACTACTGTAACATGCGAGTGCATTTTTTAATAGCATTTTAACAAACATGCTGCAGTATGGTCACTTTATATGGTTGTGAGTTCTACCCACAGAGCCAGGTATACTGCTAAAGGGTTTAATTGGAGGATACAGAGACCATATATGAGAGGCGGATTACCCACAGAGGAGAGGATACTATTTTACCCCCATTAGGAAGGGAGATGCCTGCTTGACCTGCTTTACATACAAGTCTATACATGAAGGTGAGGGTCCACCTATTTAATATGGTCACCGTGGTGATGCACATCATTTAAAGATTTACAGCACCGGGAGGCTTATTCTCCAGTAGGAATACTCTCTTCCCACTAACATTTGTGAATTTTTTCTTTTCCCCTTTGGACTTAAATTGTTGAGTTTTTCACATTTTTGGATTTATTTGTATGTTATGCTTCAGTTTCTTTCAGCAGCGCAACACTACACACTGGTTTGACATCTCCAAATTTCTGCCTACATGGGACAAGAAATCTAAGAAGTGAGTTATATAGCAATTGCATGTAGACGTTAGAAAAAGGGCCCTTGTATTATTAGCTTGGAATACACTGTCCAAAGTGGGGGTTAAGAAAAAAAAAAAAAAAAGGTGTTAGGGGCCAAACTAATGGAATTTCAAAGCATGTCTTAATTGTAGGTATTGGAAGAACCACCTTCAATTCCGACTGTAGTCCATACAAAGCTGCTAATGTTTTCAGCAATCTGTCGGCGTACAACTGCATCAGAGTAACAATCCCAGCACGTTCCCACCTGGACAAACCTTCCAGCTGGGACATTTCAGGGAGTGCTCTATTTGACCATAATAGTGTAAATCTGGTGTGACCCTGAGATACCCAGAGTTTTTTTTTTAATGGATTGTCAGATGGTATAGATCAGGTACAATGCAGGATAAGTATACTGATTAAAGGGTGGAATAGAAGAGTCCAAAGCCGATAAAGGGCTGCCATTGTGAAATAGAGAACTAAGTATATTATAGGAAGATACATGCAGACCACTTTTTTACCCAGCCTGCAAGATGTTGAAGTTGAGCTGCAGTGCATCTTCTTTCAACACATGCACATTTTAATGTGTGCTTTCCACAGGTAGGCCAATTCTGATCTGTGAAGCAACAGCCCTGAAAGTTTGCACTGCTAAAAGATATTAGAAGATACAATGATGGATGAAGATATTTACTAACTTCCTTACCTCTCTATATATTCACCCAGAAGTTGTTCCACAGCAGAAGAATATGTCCATTCAGTTCCAACTTTCTTGGTATAGCCTGGAACCTCTTCATTCTTTTTAATGAATTTTAAATTCAAGCCTACATTTGCTTTTTGCTCTCCATGGGGACTAGAAGACAGGACACAAGGCTGAATAAAGTGAGCATGTCAATGAATTTCATAGCATTTCTCCTTAAAATTAGCAGTGCAGTGCCTGTGCATTGAGTGTCATAGTTGTATATCATCCAAGGTTCGGCAGACTAACTGCTAGTCTCACCGCATTGGAGTGAGATTTGGTGCTCATTGTTCCCCTTTTTGGATAGGAAACTGTATCTTTGGATCTGCAGTGCAGATCCACTTCTGCTTCATCCATTCTGTGGATCTGCATTTCCTCCACCTCTCCAGCTGTTTTTTGATTATTCTCCCATCATCAGGGAGGCAACTGTGACATGAGGAAGAAAAGCCCTGCATCTACCAAGATGGCTGCCTCTACACGGAGAGGCAGTACAGAACTGCATTTGTCAACCAGGGTTTTGTGGACCCCTAGGGTTCCTCCAGAGTTTGCTAGGGGTTCCTTGAACTGTGACCATTTAGTGATGACTGCATAGTTCTGGAGCATATGCTACTCACCAGAGCCAGCAGAGTGACACCAATGGTCTTCTTAGCTCTTTGTAAGGGTGGCACTATGATCATTAATGTAAGGGTGGAATTCTTCTCACTGACCACCAATTTAAGGAGCGTTCTTTCCAATGACTGCCAATATAAAGTATATTCTTCCCGCTGATCACCAATGTAGGGAGCATTCTCCACCATGACCATCAATGTAAGGGACATTCTTCCCACTGACCACCAAGGTAAGGAGCATTATTTTAACTGACCCTCAATAAATTGGTTTTAACAGAAAAGAAAAACAGCAGAATTTACCTAAAAAATATCTTAAGGGTTTCTCTGGGACAAAAAAAATTGAAAAAGGCTGGTGTAAAACAATCTATGATAAGTCAGTAATGGGGGAACGATCAGCTACAGGGAGCCTATAGACCAGTTGTCTCCAAACTGCAGCCTGAGGGCCAGATGCGGTCCTTTGCTAGCCTTTATCTGACCCTTAGAGCACTTTTCTTCCCAATGATATGAGGCACTATTCCTCCCACTGACACCAACAGTTGGGTAAAATTCCTGTCACTGGTACTAATGATGGGGCATTATTTCCCAACTTGTATCAATGGTGGGGCACTATTCCTCCCACTAGTACCAATGATGGGGCACCATTCGTCCCATTAGTGTAAATGATGAGGCACTATTCCTTCCACTAGTATCAATGATGGGACACTATTCCTCCCACTGACACCAAAAATGGGGCACCATGTCTTCCACTTATACCAATGATGGGGTACTATCCCTCCCACTAGTATCAATGACAGGGCACAACTCCTCCTCCTACTGACCACCAACACTGAGGCCATGTTTGTTTTGACAGATGCTGGGTCCAAGACATTTTCTACCCCCACTGGGCACAAACCCCCCCCCCCCCCCCCAAAGTCTGAAGGACAGTAAACTTGCCTTTTGTTTGAAAAGTTTGGACACCCCTGGTTTAAAATATAACTAAACATGAAATTTTATTTTTACTTTTGGACATTGTGGAGATTAGAAAACTTGCTAAGTTTATATTGTTGTCTATGTCAAGGAAATTCACCCTCTCAGTTTGTCATGTTTACCATTACCACTGAAAGTTAAATAAATGAAAAACTTGAATTCTGGGTTGTTATTGCTAAGAAAACTTGCAATGTGGATCCTAGTTTTGGTGACCCTGGTGACAGCCAAGGATGTCCTCACTTTGTAGATATTTCCTCTCACTTCCTGTTTTGACTATGGGAGAGGAAGTAGATGTAAATCTCCCCAATGGCACACATATGGAAAAAATTAAACCAACAGGGCCTATATCCCTCCCTTAGTCTTATCTAAAATGAAAGTTTTGTCTTTAGTTCTACTTTAAGATTTTTCCATCTGAAATTCATCAGCGAATGTTAAAGGCACATTCTGTGCTGCCTGGGTGTGCAGGCAGCCATAAAACTACACTTTCTATCAGCACTGGCATGAGAGAGGTGAGGCGAGTGTTTCCCATGTAGGAATCAAAATCAGTATGTTGTCTTGTAGTCTAGCCACAAACTTCACACGCAGGGCTGACAATGTTGCATTCTATTTCAATGCATTGTTGACAGCACTGTGGGCCAATGAAATGAAGTTTGGTACAGCCTGCATTTCCTGCCAGGATCACCAGGTATCTTTTACAATGAATAGTGGTCTGACAAAAAAAAATAACAGGGGCAATGTACGCATGTCAGCAAGCTCTGGTATGTTTAGAGTTTTGATTTTTTTACCACACTTACAGTTTAAAGATGAGAACAAATGTACATCATACAAACTGAGCTAACACCCCTATATCTACTGTGTCTTCTCGTAAACACAAACAAAAACATAAGCTGCTATATATAAACTAGCAAAATGTAAGTGTTATTAAGGTGAGCTGTAAGTGAAAGCAAAACATTATCAGATAACAGTGAAGTTAATGTCGTACTTAAGAACACAAATGAATAATAGAAAAAAAAATCAATTTTTGTGATTATATTAACTTACTTTCGCTTGGAGCCTCTGCCAATAAAAATGCTTCCTGTAAACCTGGAAACAAGGTATCCATTCACTCCAAGACGACTTGCCAAAACATATCCAGGGTTATATTTTACAGCAAATTTCTAAACAAAAGGCAAACAACATTTAAAAAAAAAAATCAATATATGAGACAACCTAGCAAAATAAAAACTAAAAAAAACTACCCACCTATATGATTTTTAAAGTTGAAAGGCCCCAGAGGGTTAATTTCAAATTGTTACACACTAATCTGGGTAAAAATCCCCTGGCTATGAAGACGGAACAGGAAGATATTTTCCCTCCTATATTTTGGTCTTGCCAGCAATTAACAATAGACTAATTCAACTGTATGTTATTAATCAAACATACTTGTTTCCAGTTCCGTGGCATAAAATGGGACATACAGCCACCCAAAACTTTGTAATGATGTACTGAATCCCAGGCAGATTGGCTGGATCATACTAGAATATGTCTAAGAAACATTTATGGCATGCAAAGCCAAAGCTATTAAATGATTGAGTCCATTCTACCCTATAGCAACCCAGTTTAAGTCATTAATCAATCAGATTATTCCTTAAAGTGGGACTAAACACTCTCAATCAACATGAACTATTTTTAATTCTTATGCTGATAGCAATAATAAATAGGAAGGTATAATATATTTTCTCATTTTAACTTTTTTTTTTTTTTTTTTTTTAATTCTTACATTTCTTTGGTTGCTTCTTGGTTTCTAGCCTAGGCCAAAGTGATATCATACATCCCATGAGTCTTCATTGACTTTTTCTGTCATCTGGAGGAAAAGAGGAGGGGCTTTCTTCCCTAAGTATGCCCTACTGCTTCCATACTAGAGCTAGGTGCAGATGGATTCCAGGAAGTAAATGCTACATGAATCAAATTTCCTTACTGAAGATTGCTGTGGCTAGAAATGCAATGGGGTGTTTTTCAAAATGATTTCTCAACATAATCAAGCTCTCCCTAGACCTCCTACATTGAAGCAAAATACATTCTGGCCTCCTGTGGAATCCCTAATCACAGTAGAACCAAAAAAACTATGTCCTTTGAAGGCCAAGCAAGTCAGATGGACTTTGGACAAGCATCAACATCGCACCTGTGTAAGCTTGCGCTCTGCACATCTATATGGACATCAGACCCTTGCAGAACATAAGCTTAAACCATTACAATTGAAGCCTAAAGTTCCAGATATTTCTTATAAGCCTCAATTAAATAGGGGTTTACCTGGTGGTGGAAGAGATTGTTTTGAGGAATCTGACCCAATCTGTCACATTTGACAGATTAAAGGTACTGCCAACACATGATGAACCAGCCAGTTCAAACAGGGACTTAATGAAGGATTGCAGTTGCCAGGCAGTAGAATTCCTAAAAGATAAGCAGACCTTTTACCAGTCTTGTAGGTTTCCTGTTAAGGTGGGTCACTGGAAGATTCACAGTGAGAATAGACCACTGTTTAATAAATTCCCTCTCAAGGAGGAACAGCTCCAAAACTCTCTCAGGTGGGGTCCAGCACCCTTTAGGGTTCTTCCAGTTCACAGAGGAATACCTTGAATAGCGGGTGTGACCTTCCTCACTGCATCAGGCCACCCACTAAGCATGGGACCTGGAAGCAAGTGGAGATTACTGAAGTACCAGTGTCTACATCAGCGATTTCCAGCTTCCAAGGGCATTAGCCAGGTAAGGTATATATATATATATATAGTTACATAGATCTAAGCTGGACCAATGTAACTATGTAAATATACACCATGCCTGGAGCTCTTGTTTATCCATATTCCCCTCTAAACAACGTCCAATATGCAGAACCTTTTTTACTCATGTCCAATTTTTGCCGCAGCATGCAATACTAGTGGACCAACTTACCTTTCGCCTGTGGGCGCTAGAGTTCCAGTCTACCCTTAGGTTCAGAGAAAAGGTCATGGCAGTTGTAGAATTTCAGAGGGCCAGTTCACACTACATGCGTTTCAGTTGCTTTTTTTCTGCATCCAAAATGCACAGAAAGTAGGTTATATGGTTGTCGATGTCATAGTTCACATCAGTGCTTGCAGTTCCAGTGTGTTCCAGTTGCAGAACAAAAAGCAGAACATGTTGCATTTTTTCTGCACCGAACTGAACTGGAACGTGGCAAAACGCATCAAAAATGCACCGGAACGCACATGTCCCTATTTAAATTGAAGAAAAAGAGAGAGGGAAAAAAAACTGGAGTGCATAAAAAATGCACTGGAACGCATCAAAACCACGCATGCAAAAACGCATCCAGAACGTATCTGGACTGCATTTCTATAGTGTGAACCGGCCCTAAAAGACCCAAGGCTGGAGGCAGAAGCCTGATCCTCCAAATGCAGGGTAGTGTGCACTTCATCAATAAGGTATGAAACAACCCCTTAAAATTCTGCAGTGATGGCAGGAAACTACGAAGGTCAGTCTCTTCAGGTATAGACTGTAAACTGGAGTTCGAGATTGTCAAAGCAAAGGTAGCATGGCCTGCTCTAGGCTAGGACCCCACCTGTCAGGGTGATTGCTGCTGCGGGACTGCACCTGTTTCTGCAGCCACAAGCACCTGCACAGAAAAACACGCTGCCGCTCAGGAAATCCGTGGGGGTACCATTATTCCTAATGGAACACCCACTCACTGGAAACCGCAGCACAGCTTCCTGCACTGGGAACCACACTGCACTTGCATTTTCAAAAATGGTGCAGGGACTTTTTCCCTGCATTTTCAGGAGGCAAAGCAGCCCTCAAATGAATGGTCTGCCATTCCTGCGAAAAACGCAGCTCGCAGAGCAGCACAAGTATGAACTTAGCCGAAGGCATCGGGAAGCTTAGAGATAGACTCTGAAGGTGATGGTGCAGGAGGACGAACGTCTATGCTCAGTTTCCCCAAGACATTAGGTAAATGTGGCCAAAAAGCCAAAGTGGACATGGATGCCCGTTGATGACAGAGAAAAGGATTCAGCCTCACCTGATGGAGTGGAAGGGTATTGAGATGATTTAGGCTCTATAACTACAGGATTCTAGATTGCAGATATTAGTTCCCTGGGAGGACACCAAGTAACTGCCCCCAGAATCACTAGTGCGAGAGGAATGGACAGGGGGAGTTACACAGAAGATTCCCTGTACAGAGCTCTTAGTCAAATAGTCAGAAGCCAATATTCTCTTAAAAGGATTGAAAGGACAGAAACCTGAACACTGTTATTGCCAAGAGCAAAATTCTGGTCAAGACCCAGCTGAAGGAAGCAGAGGATCTGCCAGATGAATAAACTCCTGGGGTGGAATCCATGAGATTTACACCAAATTAATGCATTCCACAACCATTGATTTACCTTGCGGGAAGAAGATGTCCTAGCTTATAGTATTGTAGGAATCACAGACAGAGATTCCCCAGTCTTTTAGAAACTGGGCTTCAACAGCCATGCTGTAAAGTGGGATCGTAAATTAGATCTTGGGACAGAAGATCCTGGCAATATCCATATAGGGTCTGCCAGGACTGTGCCAGGTCGGTGTACCACATTTGCCTGATGTTGATTTGGAGATAAGACTTCTCTGATGGCCAAATCCCCTGCAGTCTAAGTACATGTGCTTGTGTGGATCCTATTGCTCCCTGCATAATGGAGGAGATGTGCCGACAGCACAATTCCTAACATCTAGCCCGATTTTTGAGGTGCCAATAGACCTAAACGGTAGGACTGGCCACTTCCAATACAGATAAGGAGCTCGGCTTTTGTATCTAAACACATTTTTAACTAAATTAATAATTACAGTTATTAATAAACCTATTGGGAGCTTCCAATATTTGCTATAAATTCTGTGGAAAACACACAGGAAACTATAAACAAAGCTATGAAAAATAACATGGTTACACATCACATGCAAGAAAAATAGAATACATAACAGCAATCCCTTATCAATAAAAACATACATTAAACTGGAGAGCATTCACCACAAAGTAGCGAGTATTACTAAACTGCAACAAACAACTTACATGCTGATTCTGTATTAAGGCATCTAGCTGCGGTTCACAAGGAATGGTAAATAGAACACGGACTCTGTTCTCACTGAGAACATCAGACGAGTCTTGAACCTATAGAAGTGCAGGCAAATCAAGATATATTTAATGAAGTCATAGCATTAATAAATAAAAAAAACAAAATAACTAGTGTTGTACTGAAAATAAAAGATGTGTTAAGCCAAGAAGACATTCATTTGCAAGAATGAAAAACTTGTATATTAGCTAGCACAACATTAAAAATACTGTTACAACAAACATATCATTTATTTATTCTCTATATGTTAAAATCACCTAAAGGATAATCATTATCCAAGCCAAAAAACAAAACAAAAAAAAAAAAACAACAATATTTTGGCCATACAGAGAAACACACAGCCACCCTTGTAAGTGAAAACTGCTCCCCCAGGTTATCGATTGAGAACTAAAGTACAAGTATAGGTTTCCTGCAAACTGGCTAAAAAATAAATGTGAAGTACTGGTACACAAAAAAAAAATATAATATTCATAAATATAGTGAAAACCCACATAAAATGTTTTTGTAAACCGCTCATGAAATGTTGCATACTACAGATCAACAAACATGCTTATCTCAATATGCTAGCATGCAAGTGCAGAAAAGTAAAGGTTGGCAGCATCCAGGTAAAATACAGATGAAAAAGTTGCAAAAAGCTAAAAAGGGCAGACAAAGAGGTGCACAAAGCCAAGCACTTTGGCTGAATGTTTCAAAAAACTGAGGCATTGAGGAAGTAGGGATCCCAACATATTACCTTAAACAGGTAAAAGGGGAATTTAGCAGATTCCTGCGGGCTTACAAACAACATAGGCTTAATTAGGTACTTCAACCTAAGTCCTGGAACAGTACTGCATTTCCCATCCAATTAAATATCACTGAGAAGTCCATATGAGCTATATTTTAGACCAGTGTAAACAGGCATCCATAAACCGATGGGTGTGCAACTGGAAAAAAATCGATGTTTGATACCCTGTTGGTGGGGCCTCCCTGGCTCTTAAATTAAATACCCAAGCTGATATATAGTCAGCCTTTGATTGGGACCACGCTTAGAATATTGAAGTTAGACAGATGACCTATTCAAGCTGAACATATGCCAGCGCACATGACTCCAATAAGAGGCCAGCCACAATTCAAACCAGAGATGAACAATGGAGCATTTTCTGCTCTTCTCAATGTCAGGAAATTCCAATTACACAATTTCTGAGCTGAGGGTAATTATCGATCCTTTTTTGATATCCAGAACACTTGTGAACCCCAATATCTTTGTGGAGAGTGATGCAAATTTGCCATTTTCGTATGTACACCTGGGGCAAGTTTCTGTTCTTACCCCCACTCACTGAGTTTGAGGCACTCTGGACACAAATCCAATCAGTCATGGGCTCTCCCAATTGTATCACATCCTATCTCATCTTCCAGAACCATATTTGCCAACAAACTTCTCTATATGAGAAAAAGAGTTTGAGAACACTTTTATAAATCAACAATTAAACAGGGTCCTACGGATGATCCACATCTATATTCAGCAGGATCCAGCAAATAGGTTTTAAAAACCTTTTGCATTGTTATAGGGTACCCAAAATTCTTCACAAGCTCCTTCCACAGTGCTTACCCCTTTGTTGGAGATGTCAATAAAGAGAAGGGTCCCTACTACATATCTTTTGGTCCTGCCAAGACATTAGGGGCTTCTGAAACCAGGTAAACACCATTTTTCCAATGGACAGTTATCCACATGACGGATAACCTGGCAGCTTTCCTCCGCCATTTGACACCGTTACCAATGAAACAATACAATCTCTATTTCTACATTTACTGAATGTGGCTAAGATGAGCATCTCACTTTATTTGAAACAAAACATACACCAACAAATAAGCCTCTGGTCCTCAAAGGTCAGCAAAATCAATTCAATGCAAGAATTCATGGCAGTTGCTAGCTATAGGGAAGAACAATTTTGCAAGACATGCACGAGGTACTCCTCTACAAATGGAGAACACAAATGGAGATGGGGCAATGCACTATACAGGCTCACCCAGTAGGGAACACAGTTACTGTAGTACCATGTGATCAAAAGTGGGCAAATGCACGGTGTTTGTGATCTGCATTTGAGGTGACGTTAGGAATACATTCACACCAGCAGCAGACTGCACACCCAGTGTGTGTTCAATGCACTGCAGAAAACTTGTACGGAACGCGGGTTTCCTGCACTGCGTTCTGGTGTGAAAGGGCATTGACTGCAGTCACTCAACAGTCCAGTCATTAACCAGAAACACCAGAGTGTTCATAATCATGTTTGTGGCTCTCTTGAAGATGATAGAGGAGTGTATGTGGAATCACTTAGAAACACTGCTCTTTTGTAATCCTCTTCTTTGTGTAAATGAAATTGACTGTACTAATATATTTTAATAGAATAATATATGCAGTTCTGATGCTTTACAGGAATGTTTAAATATAAATACTGTTGAGCGAATAATAATTTGCCTCATATTTACCTAAACACACAGAGGTGTAGTGCTATAAAGCTCTAGCAAAAACTCACCTCTCCCATTGACCCATAGTAGGGTATGCCGAGCATAAAGACTGTACTCCCTGGTGAGTACAGCTCTCCAAGTGTCTTAAAATGGGAGAAACCAGAATCAAAGGCGGTTATGTCCTGAAGAGAAAAGCAGAAGTTAATTTGCATTCATACCAACACATACTAATAAAGTGCAAGTTGCTTATTAATACTTTGCTCACCTTCACAACTGCCTGGTATACGAAGGGGAGTACCTGCTTGGACCACTGCTTCTCCAGGTAAACCTCTCCATTTTGTGTTATCTGATACCGACGTCCAGTAAGCAGCTGAGCGTACAACAGCACTGATGTGTCATTGATGACAACTCCTTTTCTTCTTTGGTATCTTATAATAAAAAAGCATGAACGGTATTGAAAAAAAGCAATTTGGCTATAATAGCAAAAGTGTGCCTGTTCCAGAACCGGAAAGTTTTTCTCTAATAACTACTGTATGTTCTTATAAATGTGTCAAATTAAAAATCCATTGAAGTTTTCTGTATTACTGTAATGCACTCAAGATACTAAACAGCGATAATTGGGTAGTTTTTTTTCCCATTTTTAACAGAACTTTTTGTTGTAAGCAAGGATTAAAATCATTGGCATACCCCAAACCCAGTAGCTCAGTCAACAGCACCCACACTCTGAGCAATTAGACCATTGTGCTCTGTTAGGCAGCAATCCAGCCCTCTAAAATGCTGCTGGCATAGGTATTTTTACCATTTTATTAACCTCTTCCCATCCAGCCCATGTCGATAAACGGCCAGACGGGAGTGCTGCCGCTGCAGGTGGATGTTTCTAAACATCCCCCTGCATTCATTGCCTGTGCACGTTCCCTGGGTATAGATCGCTGTACAGGACCTCTGTGTGAGGTCCCGATCATGTGATCACTGATTGGCCAACCAGTGATCACATGAATAGTAGTAAACAAGATGTGACTTCCTGACATCATTGCTTATTACTTGTACCATGGTACAACAGCCTTGTACCATGTGACAAGCTGTGACCAATCACAGCTCGCACAGTATTTCTCAATGGCTGCAAGAATGCAGCCATAGAGAAGGAGAGATTATTGCTTTTACAGCCTTTATAGGTGTAAAAGCAATCAGTGTAAAAAAAGAAAAAAAAAAAAAAATCATCATCACCTCCCACAAGTAGTACAGTGTCACTATGGTGACACTGTACTGCTAAGGTGACAGTATGTTAAAAAAAAAAAAAACATAATAATATAAAAAAAAATTAAATAAAAATTTAAAACATTTTTTTGAAAAATTATAATTTTTGGTTATAAACTAATCTGGGTTTTGTTTTTTTATTAATAAAATGGATGAATACATTTTGGCCAAGATTTATGAAGAAAAGATTATGTGCAACATTTTATAAGAAACACTTTTTAAAAACTTTTTTTGGACTTTTTCATTTATATAGCAAAAAAATAAAAACCCAGTGAATAAATACCACCAAAATAACGTTTTAACGGTCTCAAAAAAATGCTAAAAAAGTCATGTGGGTACAGTGTTGCATGACCACGCAATTGTCATTCAAAGTGGGACAGCACTGAAAGCTGAAAATTGGCCTGGACTGGAAGGGGGTGAAAGTGTCCAGACTTGAAGTGGTTAAACAATAAAAAAAAAGCTCACAATTACAGTTGCTGCAGGGGGAAGATTTGGCCTGTCAGGCACTGGAGCCGGAGCAGAGCGCGTGAGTGAGAGTTGCACTGTTGTAGTGATAGTAAAGTTACCAGGGACTACAGGAGTGGAGGAGGGTGAATAAGCATGGCATTGCACTGTTGCATTTGGTGGTGACATTTCTGAAATTGGCTACATAGCTATGCCTGCAGGGGACATTGCATGGAGGTGGAGCAGTGAGGAAGTGATGTACAGGGAGGTGTGTGCAAGGTGTAATCTGGCATATAGCTACAGTTGGGGGTATTGTGAATGTATGTTGAGCCATAGGGAGCATTGTACAGTGCAGAGAGATAGAGCTGGAATAGCAATGTTCCGGGTATACAGTAATTGGTTAGTGGAGTGGTAGTGTTTGGAACTTGACTTTAAAGAAGCAAGAACTTGACACCTTAGCACTAAGAGCTCCCAGAGAAGCAGAACATGATGTGTAGGTATAGTGGCCACTCTGCAACCGGACTGGCTGATCTAAGCGTTGCAGCCCTTTTAAGGTTGGGGAATCCTGTATCCGTACAAACAACAAAAAAAAACAAAGGGCGCAAATGCCTAGTGCATTACCTCCAACACTTTATTATAGATCACAAACCCATTGTGGATAAAAGGGCACCAAAAAATGCAAAAACCGGAAGCCAGCCCTGTAACGAGTTCCATAGGTTGAGATGGATGAAAATATCAGCCTATGTGTCTCAGGGGACAAGCCCCCTTCATCAGATTTAAGGAGTTCATATCTCTGAGAAGATAATGCACTAGGCAATTGCACCCTTTTTATTTATTTATTTATTTTTTTAAGTATTGGGAAGCCTGTGAGAGGAAGTAACATTTATTTGGTCTGCTTATCTACTACTGGCAAAACAAAACCCAGAATAAGGTATGATCTCTAAAGGAAATTCAAAAGTGTAGTGAAAAACCCAAAAACTGAGCTTTTACATTTTTTACATTTACAATACTAATAGCTAGACTTTTTTTTTTTTTTTTTAAACTCACTGTTCTGAGATCCCTTGTACTTCCTTCACCCAGATGTTCCTCTCTTTGTCAGCAAGATAGACTAATTTTGTAGGTGGTACAGCTCCATCAGTGTAAAGCTTCTGAGTTCCAGGAGGTTCTTCCAAATAAAATCTGAATCAATGGCAGAAAAAAAAATATATAAATAACGTATCTAAATCAAGAAAATTCAAAACCAAAGCCATCATCCCAAAAATCTGTGTTATGATTTTAGGCCTGTGTTTTGCAAACTCTTCTTTGGGGAGCACTAACAAGTCATGCTTTCTACACTATATGTACACCCAAATTTCATATTCTTGACAAGTGCCTGCTGTACCATGTACTTGTATGAAAAAGTATCTGGTTTTCTTTGTATGGTTTTCTTTCTTTGAACTCCCCAGTGTTCCTGCCAGTCCCTCTGCTTTCCCAATAAAAACGGACCACAATGGGCAAGAGAAAACAGTTCGTGGTCAGTTCTCTAGCTATGCTGAGAACTCTGTGAGCTCTCCTCCAATGGTCAGAATTCTGCTGACAGCCCCCCCCCCAGCACAGCCATTCTCTTGGAAGATCAGTGTCCTGCTGTTTCTCCTCCCCTAGCTCTTTGCAGTTGAGAACAGAGTGTATGTGATCACTTATAAGAAAGTGGAAAAAAAGTGTATATAATGCTGATTTATAACTATACACAAAGTGTCACGATCGCGGTCTCAGACCCCAGACCTTCTCACCAAACTCGTGACCGAAGGACTAGCCGATCTAAAACTGCGAGGTCACGTGCGTAACAATGCCACACCCAGCTGCACCCTGCACAATGATTTTCCAGCTAATTGGACCACAATCGATGAACCGGCAGCCTGAGCGATTGTTACTGGGTCAGGTTAATTACGCGATTAACCCTTCACACTGCCACCACCTCCTTTTTGTACAGAAAAAGAGGAAACTCGGCAATATCAGCTAAAACACTATAATGGTTGAGATAATCATCTGCATAATACGGTCACCGCAGGCCGATTATGCAGAGAGTTAAACAAACACAGTAGCGTCTCTTTAGAGGCAGGAATTCGTAAATTGCAATAAAGCGCTATATAAACAGTTCAACACTTACAGAAGGAAAGATTTATTACTAAAAAGGTCAAACGGGTGCATTAAAAATATTTACAGAAAGGATGTAACTTAGATATATATATATATATATATATATATATATATATATATATAAACATACAGAGACCAAACAGCACAGCAAAGAGATATCAGAGAGAGGTGAAAGGGTTAAGGTACTTGCCAAAGTCCTGGGTTAGCAGATCCAAGTTTCAGAGTAAAAGGGCACGGGTCTCCCCAGGTGGCATTGATGTTAAAATGGGAGACGTCTTCAACTCCCACTCTTAGGCCTGACAGCCTATTTTGTAGTCCCCAGCAGGGGGTGTCTCTGAAGTCAAGGACCAATACCCCGCTTAGGGCGTGAAGGTAGGGGTGGATACCTCAACTAGAGCCAAAATCTCCCGTAACTCATATTTTGGCCCATAACTTTCCAGCTGCACAAGTGACATTCCACCCGCGGGTAGATTATTATGCAGACATGTCTGAGGATTGATTAGAGATGAAATATGTAATTCTATACTTAACGGTTCACGAGATCTTTTTTTCTGCTTTCTTATGTGACCGAGACAAGGCAAGTGACCCATCAAACTGTTTGCCTGCTCATTGCCCATCTAACGATATGCCTGGTTTTTATGCAAGTCTCTCATATGCCAAGATATGAGACATAGGGGAAAGATGGATTTTAACAAAGGTTATCTGATTATGTCACCTACGCTGAGTTAGGTTTATTAGGTTGGAATCTCTTGAACTCTGGGGAAAGCTTGCTTTATCTCTTCTGAGGTGTTAAATTGCACAGGTTCTTTGGACAGCTAGGCCCTGGCTCAGAGAGGTGTTTTATAGCTCTGGGCTCCCTGCTGGCTCTAGCCTGCCAGTGACCCACAACCAGATGTTGCTGTGGCTGAACAGAGAGGGAAGGGGGAGAATGAGGGACAACATGGAGATTCTTAACAAAATGGCGGACTGCGTCAGTCTCTGGTGCGCACGTTTGCAACACAAAGGTTTTGTCTTTCATTTCTATTTTAAGGCAAAGGTGGGCAACTTCACTTATTTGCACCTTCAGACCATCCTAAAAGCCCAAAACTCAAGAGTGCACTATTATGTTGATATTAACCACAGCTTCTGTATTCAGTCTGTGGCTTAATTCTTCCTGTCCTTTGAACCTTCCCATTGGTTAGTGCATTGGCTAGAGCTGCCTATTCTATGAAACTGAGGACACTTAACAAGGTAACAATAGCCAACAAACTTGCTTTACCTAAAATCATTGCAACAAACCAAGTTTCTATCCTCTACCCAACCACAATTTTTATATACATTGTCTTTGCCCCTGACAAGGCAGGCAAATCCTGGAAGACCTCTTGAAAACTAAAATAACTGTTTAACAAATAATAAGCATTTGGTACAGATCAGTTATACTCCGTAATACATTTGATACTGCAAAGACACAAAAAAGGTTTATCATGATGAATGCAAGAATTGTCAAATATTCACATACTTCACTTCTCCATCTGACACTGCAACAACACGTGCTTCTTCAAGGTGAGGCCAGTTAACAAATACAGATTTCCCAAGAACTGCTGAAGCCACAGATTCCACGTTCTAAAAAAAAAAGGCACATGGGAAAATAAATGCCATTTTAAAAGTCATAAAAATATAACATTCAACATGATTAGGCTGATATACACCACATATACTTACAGTATTATCAGAGTCTTCATCAACCACTATCTCCAATATCATATTTTCTCCTCTACTACTCTGCTGGAAAACCTGCACTCCTGATTTCCTCAAAGAAAACTGACAAAAATAAAATATATATCTTACTGTTAACAAATTTTTAATGATCAAGGCTAAATTTATCACACAAGTAAAAAAAACTCTAGCTATAAACAAGTCTTCATGCAGAGAAAAGACTGGCCGAGAACAACATTGAATAAAGCAGTGGTCACTAAACGGCGGGCCACGGTACGGAACCAAACAAAGGGAAAGTCCCGTCCGGACTGCAGCCACGCCACCCCTGGGTGCCCTCCCTTGGGGCAAGGTGCTGCAGATCAGGACCAAGGGGCGGGAGCTGCCCAAGCCACCATGTCAACAAGTGGGTTGGCCCCACATCAAGTCACAGAGAGCAGAATTCCCCACACACCAACAAGCCAGCAATCACCAGCTTCCTCCCCCCAGTCCCGACCTGCAGCCTCCACACCCCATCCATCGCGAGGACGACATCGGTGGCTGCGTGGGAGGCGCGGAAGAGGACACCCAGCAGCGGCATGGCCGAGGTCTGGACAGGACCCCCACATCTGTGCCACCTTGAGGATGACACTGGTGGCGGGCTTGAGGCCAGGAGAGGACACGCCAGAAGGATTAGTGTCTCTGCCCTGCCTAAGGTACCAGGGGAAGGCTTGCATTAAAAGTGGCTTTGTGTTGTGTTAGGGGTGTGCTTTGTGTTAGGGGTGCTGTGTTGTGTTAAGGGGCACTGTGTTAGCGGCACTGTTTTGTTAAGGGGGGCAGTGTTGTGTTAAATGGTGCTGTTAGGGATGCTGTGTGTTTTAGGGGTGCTATGTTGTGTTAAGGGGCGCTGTTTTGTTAAGGGGGGCAGTGATGTGAAGGGGAACTGAGGATACTGTGGGACTTCTTTAAAGAGGGGACTGTGATGTAGAGGGGACTACAGTGTGAAAGGTATGCTAAAGATCATAATGTAGCGGGGGGACTGTGATATGGTATAGCTAATGAGAGTTGGACCTCTGCTGGAAGGAAAATTTGCTGACCAAACCTCCGTAAATTTAAATTCAAGACCCCTGCAATAAAGCATTCTTACAAGTCACCCATTAACATATGTGGAATAAGATCATGAGTCTAGCTGATCGATAGCTAAACCACAAGAAATGAAACGCCCATTTTGTTGGGATGACTTACTGTGTGTTTGATGTGCCTTAGAGTTGGGAAGCCACAAAAATACAGTGCGCTTTTGTTTACTTTTGTGATTTTGTTATCAACCATATTCACGTGCCATGCATCCAATGAAATACTCTTAGACCTGCCAAGAAAAGAGGAACAAGATAATAACACTAAATTACCACCTGATCATTGCACCTACAGTTAAATTCATATATATTTGGACACAGGCACAATTTATTTACCAAAACATATTCAGGCTATAGTTATATAATGAATATGGGCTGAAAGTGCACACTCTCAGATTTAATTTGAGGGTATGTACATCCAAATTGGAGGAAGGGTTTAGGAATTACAGCTCTTAAGATTAGCCATCCCCCCTTTTTCAAGGGACCAAAAGTAATTGGATAATTGAATCAAAAGCAGTTTCATGGCCAGGTGTGGGCTACCCCTTCGTAATTTCTTCATCAATTAAGCAGGCAAAAGGTCTGGAAGTGATTCTAAGTGTGGTATTTGCATTTGGAATCTATTGCTGTGAACCTACATCATGTGTTCAAAGGAGCAGTCCATGCAAGTGAAACAGGCCATTGTAAGGCTACAAAAACGAAAACAAATCCATCAGAGAGATAGCAGCAATTATGGAGCATTAGGAGTAGCCAAACCAGTTTGGTACATTCTGAGGAAAGAAGAACACACTGGAGAGCTCAGCAACATAAAAAGGCATGGATGTCCATGAAAGACAACAGTGGTAGATGATCGCAGGATCCTCTCTATGGTAAAGAAAAACCTATTCACAACATCCAGACAAGTGAAGGACACTCTCCAGGAGGTGGGCGTATCATTGTAAAAGTCTACAATCAAGAGAAGACTTCACGAGAGCAAATACAGAGGGTTCACCACAAGGTGCAAACCATTCATAAGTCTAAAGAACAGAAAAGCCAGATTAGACTTTGCCAAAAAAAAAATCTAAAAAAGCCAGACCAGTTCTGGAAAAGCATTCTTTAGATTAACCTGTACCAGAATGACGGGAAGAAAAAAGTGTGCCAGTAAAGGATTATCAACAAAATATTAAAAATGAACATTTTATTTATTATTATATTAATCTGTCTAATTACATTTGAGCCCCTGAAAATGGAGGGACTGTGTATAAAAATGGTTGCAGTTCCTAAAATTTATACCTGATATTTATGTTCAACCCCATGAATTAAAGCTGAAAGTCTGCACTTCAAATTAATTTGGATTGTTTCGTTTTAATTTATTCTGATGGCATACAGTGCCAAAAGTATGTCAATTGTGCCAGTGTCCAAATATATATGAATCTAACTATATATGAGCTTGTTGGACATCCTAGTCATAACAAAGATTTTGGGGTCTGTTAGTAGGAAATTGTGCTCATTCAGCCAAAAGAACATTTGTGAGGTCAGGTACTGATGTTGTTTGAGAAGAGCTGACTCACAATTGGGGGTTTTAGTCTTTTTCCAGTTAAAAGGGCTGGGGTCAGGGCTCTATTAAAGGCACATGCAAGTTTCACCAACATAACTAGTTCACAAATGTGAACAGGGGACAGTCATGTTGGAACAGAAAATACTCTTCTCTAAACTTCTGCTACAAGGTTGCAAAAGCAGAAGTGTCCGAAAATGTCTTTGTATATTGTAGGAATAAGAGTATGTTTCACTGGAAACATCTGAACTTAATTTTAGGGGTGTCTACATAATGTCTGAAAACTAGGTGTGATGGCCAGGTGTCCACAAACTTTCAGCAATATAGTATAGGTAATAACACATTTTAAGATAATAACAACGCCAACACGCTACCAGAAGGAAACAGTCAGGTCACAAAAAAACGGTTGATAAAACAAAAAGGTATTTACATCTGTAAAGTTTCATCACAATTCGTGAAACATATTCCTATAAATAAAATCCATGGGTTTATGCATTTGTAATAAAAAGGACAATCAAAACCTCTGTTTTAGGAAGGTAGTGTTGTAATGTATAAAAAATTAGAGGGCCTATTTGGCTGCTTTTTAATCCACTTTACAGACCCTAAATGCTTGTACTGTCAGGGTCTAGTAGTATTGTACATTTGTACCTTTGTACATTCTCTGTTCACTCAACTGTATAGTGAGTGCAGTTTTACCTTGCCTGGCAGCGCTCGACGCTCTGAAATTTCTCTGGCCAGGGAGAGCTGTATTGGAAGTCGGCTTCCTTTTCAAACCAGTACATGAAGCATTCACTATGTCTATTGCGCATCTTCTCTTCCTCAATCAGCCGCTTATTACAGGCCTCCATGGCTTCTAGCAGTCGAATCTGCAGGAGAGGAAGATTCACACATACAGTTCTACGTTACAAGGGCATAATAAATATTAACAAGCCTTAATTACCAAAATGTAAAAAATAAGAAAAAAAAAAAAATCTGCCTTTCCCCTCCCTACTTCTCCTGTGGGTCACAGGCGTGCACTTAGTTCTGCACTCCTCTGATCCATTTTTAGCCAACAGATGGCTAAAGGCTACTGTCAGCTGATGTTACAGAAGCAGGTCCAGGCTCCGGAGAGATCCCAACGTTAATGTCGATATCCACCCAGAAGCTGACCGGCAGCTGGCTCAGCCTGGCTCTGAGAGCCTGAGCCAGCTGCTCCTGCCTCCTCAACAGCTCAGCACTCCAGTGACTGACAGATACCAGCTCTCTGCAGACTGAAGACCGAGAACTGGGTGATCTGCAGTCTGATTTTCTCAGTTCTCTGTGGAGAGTCAGTGGGGTACAGGTGCAGCTGGGATCAGTGCTGCAGCCATCAAGGTGAGTATAATTTCTTTCTTTTTTTCAGTTCCAAGCTTCTCTTTTAAATCTGTGCTAGAACATGAAAGCAAGAATCTGGTTGGTTGCAAAAAGGAACACAATTCTTTTTCACACATTCAACACATGAAGCCCAGTAAGCTATGTCAATCAGCAAAGAGCAAATGCCAGGTTGTTTAATACATTTTTATGTTATTTTATTTAGAGACTGCTAGATTTCTCTATAAAACTCTTTAAAGTTCTTGATTTAAAATAGTAAACCTCTAACTAAAATCAATGGCCAAGCAGATAATGACACAACTAAGCACCAGACAAGTGTTCCAGCTTAAAGGATAAGTTCACTTTTCATAACATGTTATACCCATGTTCAAAGTGTAACATGTTACGAATGGACCATCCCCCGTTCCCCATTGTGAAAGCTAGCAGGGGATCTTCTCCTACCCGCTAGCTGTCACGATTTAAAACAAAAAACTGCGACCGCGCTGGGCTCCGTCATTCATTCAAGGTGTTCTGTGAATGAATGAACTGCAAGCCCCGACAGACTTTGCAGCTGTCGGTTTGCAGTTGTGAATGAGCTGTGGAGCACCGTGGTAGTTCACTGATTCTTCCGGTCAGTATATCTGCTTGCCCATACATCCCGTACAGGTGTGCAGAACACTTGCATGGCACCGGCTATCTGCTGATTGCTGGTGCAATGCTTTAGAGACTCCAAAAACAAAAAAAATAATTGCGCATTTTGTTACCTGCAAAAAAATGTGCATTTATTGTTTTTTGTAAAAAGGTGAACTTATCCTTTAATGATGGAAGTGGAGAACCTGTGGGGGCATTAGAGGATCTGTAGCAACTGTCTATACTGGCAAAAACCCAGTGCTGCTATCAATTGGATCATTTTAATGTAGAAGTAAAGCCAAAGCTATTTTGGCTATACTTCTCCTTTAGGTCACAGGTGTGCACTTCTTTCTGCAATCCTGTGGCCCAATAAATCTCACTGTTGGCTGACATCACTCAGCCAGTCCCGGTCTGCAAAGATCCCGAAGTCCATACTTCTCTTTTAAGAAAAGAAACAGGTAGGACTCTGCTACAAAGTTTGTTAAAATCCTTGAAATGTACATAGATCACACAACAGGGACTGTTTTTTTTTTGTGTTTTAAAGGAGAGTTACTCATTAAAGAAAACCTTGCAACTCAGTAAAAGGGTAACTCCACTTTAATGAAAAAATAGAACACATAAAAAAAAATATAGCATATACAATTGCTACACAAGTCATATTATAATTGTATATGATTAGAAATTATACAAATATAAATTGACTCAACTCCCAAAATTTGTATAACCATAAATACAATGTGTATAATAATGTGCACAACCCCTGGTCACCAAAAAATCCCTTCCTCCACAGGAAGTCCAAAATAAAAATGTTCCTCAGCATCCAACCAAAATCAACATCCTCAATAAATGTCCAAAAATTACTTCTTCATTATTCAAGGCTTATATGTTCTCAATTTATAAATCTTCAAAGTGATGTCTTCTTCATCTGACGTCACTTACTGATGCGTTTTGTCATTACGTAAAAGTCGTAATGACGAAATGCGTCAGTTGCCAAGTGAAAGTTGTGCAGTGGCCATTTTGGAAGAGGTCCAGTCCATAGATTGTATACAAACGCTGATGTACATCTTACATGTGTAAGCGCTTTTTCACCTAATAAATTTGACTGCCTTGATAAGCTATGAGATGGTTGCCCATTCTTTTTTGATATATGTATTGGGATTGTGACAAAAGTGATAAGAGCGATATTGGTTGGAGAGAATCCCATCTGCTTAAAGCTTGTTTTCTTTGCAATCAAGTAAGGTGCATTGACTGTAAGGTGGTGGAGTATTTTATTATCTCACGAAATTGCTGGTCACTGGTATGGTATTAACGAAGAACTGAGTGTCACGATTTGAAAGTTATGTACAATATCACACTATTTGAAATTCAATTTCTTGGAGGGAATGGTGGTTCATGAGGAAGAATTTTTGTAGGAAAAATTCACGTGCTGAAAATTCATTTTGAGAGAGCGATCTACTCCTAGAGGGTAAGAGTAGGAATTACAGATATCACATCTGGAATGACACCTGGTGGAGTTTTTGCATGTATTCAGCCCTTTTATGTATTATTATTATTATATAGAGTAATACATTATATGTAAGTGTTTTGTAGTTTGGTTATCACTATGAGACAAAGGTAATGCACTATGTGCAGTCAATATAAATTGGTTTTTGAGGGTTAAAGAGAAAGAGGAGGACGACGTCACTTTGAAGATTTATAAAACATATAAGCCTTGAAGAATTAAGAAGTCATTTGGGGACATTAATTGAGGACATTTATTTTGGTTGGACGATGAGGAACATTTTTAGTTTTATTATTAGAAATTGCCTTTCCTTATCAATCTGCAGCACTGCAATTTTCTGCAAAATTCAATGCAATATGGCAACTTTGAAGCATTCTTTACAGTTGATGTACAGCACTTTCCCAGAAATGTCATTTCCTGCTTGCATGAATGACTTACTGATTGTTCCAGAAGTCTGCACTAAGATACAAGTCAAATTTTAGACATCCACTGCAGTGGGAATTATATTTTTGGTGAAATACTTCCTAAGGGTGAAATTACTTCTAAAGGGGTGCAGGCACTGCAGCTTTCCACATTAGAATGCTGAAAATGCCTCAACTGATTAGAATGAACACAGACACTCCAGTTCAAGAATAAGAATTCCAAAGACATAGTTGAACACACAGCTTTTTCTTAAGTGTAAGTGGGACTGTCGGAGCATTCACTGACATTATTTTTTCGCACTTCTGAAATATATATACACACACTACACACACTACACACACACCCCAATGGAGATAAAACACATCTAGGAAAAAAGCTTACCTCATCAATAAATGGAATTAATACTACTGCTTCCCACTCTTGCTGTTTTCCATTGAGGTCAGTTTTAAAATCTTGAGGATAATAATCTATTATGGGAGAGTCTTGGCTAATCATTAAGCTCTGTGGAAAAATGCACTTGTTAAAAATATGCATAGCTAAAAAAACTGAAGCCTAGTCTAGGGTACTAATAAACAGCTACCTGATAGGCCTGTGGCAGCAAATCCTTACTAGCAGCAGGTAAGACAGCAAGCAGCTGCTCAAATGGCATGAAGGCTTTTCCCAAATCAAATTTCAGTTTCAAGTGACTGATGTTCTGAATATCAGATAAGTATGGTGCATAATGGTAGGGGTAATACCTTGAAAAAAAAGGGAAAAATATAACAGTGATACGTACACAAACAGATAAAAAAAACAGCATATTACAAATAACTGAACATATTCTTGTTCAATGTTTGAAGATGAACAACATTCAAATCAGTCCAGAGCTTATCCTAAGGCCTCATTCACACAGCCGTAAAAAAAAAAAATGTAGATAATATTACACGTGTTTTCTAGAATAAATGTTCTTGTGTAATGATCAGTAAAAAACCTGCGTATAGATGCATTTAAATATGTAGAAAAGCGTACCTGTTTTTTTTTTGTAATTTATTTTTCCCCTTTGTTTGGGCTTAATTTACATGCTTACAAATGTGTATACATGCATTTATATGTGTAAGCTCGTAAAGCGCATGTTTTTAGAAGCAGATTTTCAGATTCTGTGTTATGGATGTGAAAGCAGTGCATGTTTATGCGCAACTGTGTGAATGGCTCTAATGAAAACAAAGCAGCTGTGTTCAGATCAATAACACAGGTCTGTGACTAAAAAGCTATTTGATTATTTTCATCTAATTTCCAAGTATTTTGGTGTGCTGAAAACAAATAAAATTTTGAAAAAACTCCTAGACGTCATGATTTGCCACAAAATGCAAAATTGTCTTCAAATTTATCAAATGTTTTTAATTTTTGGTATTTTTTTTATATTATGGGTTTTTAACCAAATTTAAAGTCCAAATTACTATTAATTAATTCACATAAGTGCATTTAAGATATAAAATGCCAAACAAACCTTAAAGGGGGTTGTCCGAGTTATGTAAAAAAAATATAGCACTGTAAATTTGATGGTCAGCAATATATACATAAGCTAAGCAAGTTTTAGGGGGAAAAAATGTTTTATTTCTACATTTCCCTAGTTCTCTTTCTGGTCCTTTGTTGTTCTTTTCAGGTAAACAATCTCTGCCCCTCCCCCCTGCAAAGGGGGTGAATACAAGTGCTGCTCTGAGTGACATGTCTGACTACTGGGATACTCAGCAGCATGCTGTATGTGTAAGCCTCAGCCCTGAGTCTGTGCTTCTAATGGTAGAAGCGGTTAATCATTCCTGAAAAATCCAGTGGGTGGGATACCAAATACCCTTGTTTTCTGTGTCTATGGGACAGTCGATATAATAGTAGGGGGTTCAGTGAGCGCTAACTAATACAGCAGCTGATACACTAAAAAGGAAAAACCATAAACCTTAAAACTGACAACATAACATAGATAGTGCAGCGCTAAAAAATACATATGACTGCACCAGTGCTTGTAAGGTAGTGCAAAATTCCTTGAATCTTATCAAATAGTATAGGCCACATATGATGTGTGTGGCCTTCCCAAACAAAGATGAAGTAATGGCGTGTACCCCACACGCCTTCACTTCACCATAAAAAACACACAATATGAATGCACAATAAAAAGATAGTCTAATAAAAGTCTAGTGATCAAAAAAGGCCACAGATAAAGTTTTGACAAGATCCCGGTGACGTATATAGTCCGGCGTTGTGCAGAGTTCAATTTTCTCTTTTAAAGCCTTGACCTTCCTCACAGCACATGGGACGTATTGCTGCATTATAGCCGTGCACACAACACTGCCTAGAACACACTGCTATTTGATAAGATTCAAGGAATTTTGCACTACCTTACAAGCACTGGTGCAGTCATATATATTTTTTAGCGCTGCACTATGTTATGGGACAGTCGAGACCGACAAAATCACCGGACCAAGAAGAGTTGGCAGCCGAGGGTGCTAACAGTCGGTGAAAAAAATGTCCTCCGAGAAACTTTGGTACCTTCCCATAAAGTTCTTCTACCACCTCTCCACATAAAATTGGGATTGATGAATGCTTCAAATACTTGGTCACCAAGTTTCCAGGCCTGTCGGAGGCAAAATTGAAGGAAGGTGTGTTCGTCGGACCAGACATTAGAAGGCTTATGGTTGATCAAGAGTTTGTCAATACCATGACGGATCCTCAAAAAGAAGGGTGGATTGCATTTAAAGAAGTCGTACAGAAATTTCTAGGCAATAACAAAGATCGTCGGACGAATGCTGAAAGCATTTCAAGCTTTAGGTTGCCTGATAAGTTTGAAAGTGCATTTCCTCCAGCCCCAGCTTGACTACTTTCCTGAAAATTTGGGAGCTGTGAGTGAGGAACAAGGTGAATGATTCCACCAAGACATTAAAGAGATGGAAAGGAGATACCAGGGAAAATGGAGAATTACAATGATGGCAGACTACTGTTGGATGCTTCAGAGAGACATTCCAGATGCTACTCACAAGCGTAAATGCACCAAGAGGAGCCTCACAGGAAGAAGAATTGAGTTTAGTGTGTGTAGGTGAGCTCATTTCAGTTCAAAAAAGGATTTTCATGAAAAAATTGCAATAAAACTTTAATTTTATAAGTCTATTTCCATTTATTTTGAGGTATTGCCTTATTTAACATAGTGACCTAAATTTTCAGGAAACATGATGTCCTATTACAAAATGGAGGTAATTTTCGGATTCAGCGAACCAAAAAACAAAGATTACGTGGAATAACCAAAACAGCTCTTGAAACAAATTTTTTTGCAGACCTGTGTATAATTAATAAACACTTGTACATTCTTTTGTTTTTCCTTGCAGCTGTGTGAATAAAGCCTAATAAATGTACACTATATTGCCAAAAGTACTGGGACGCCTGTGTATTTACAGGCACGTGAACTTTAAAGGGCATCCCTGTCTTAGACCGTAGGGTTCAATATTGAGCTGGTCCACCCTTTGCAGCTATAACAACTTCAATTCTTATGTGAAAGCTTTCCACAAGGTTTAGGAGTGTGTCTATGGGAATGTTTCACCACTCTTCCAGAAGCACATTTGTGAGGTCAGGCACTGATGTCGGGCGAGAAGGCATGGCTCGCAGTCTCCGCTCTAATTCATCCTAAAGGTGTTCTATTAGGTTAGGGTCAGGTCAGGTCAGGCCAGTTAAGTTCCTCCACCCCAAACTCGCTTATCCATGTCTTTATAGACCTTGCTTTGTGTACTGGTGTGCAGTCATGTTGGAACAGGAAGGGGCCATCCCCAAACTGTTTCCACAAAACTGGGAGCATGAAATTGTCCAAAATGTTATGGTATGCTGGCGCCTTAAGAGTTCCCTTCACTGGAACTCTTAAGTGGAAAGTGGAAAGGGGCCAAGCCCAACCCCTGAAAAATGACCCCACGCCATAATCCCCCCTCCACCAAACTTTACACTTGGCATAATGCATTTAGGCAAATATCCTGGCAACCGCCAAACCCAGACACATTCATCAGACTTCCAGAGAAGCGTGATTCATCAAAACAGAGACCACGTCTCCACTGCTCTAGAGTCCACTTGCAGCGTGCTTTACACCACTGCATCCGATGCTTTGCATTGCACTTGATGATGTAAGGCAGGGATGCAGCTGCTCGGGCATGGAAATCAATGCTCTACGCACTGTTGTTGTGCCAATATGAAGGCCACACAAAATTTGGAGGTCTTTAGCTATTGACTCTGCAGACAGTTGGCGAGTTGCTGTTGTTCCCAGTTGCTTCCATTTTGTTATAATACCACTAACAGTTCACTGTGGAATATTTAGTAGCAAGGAAATTTCACAGATGGACTTATTAAACAGGTGGCAACCTATCATGGTACCACGCTTGAATTCACTGTGCTCCTGAGAGTGTGACCCATTCTTTCACCAATATTTGTAGAAGCAGTCTGCATAAACAGGTGCTTGATTTTATACACCTGTGGCCATGGAAGTGATTGGAACACCTGAATCCAATGATTTGCAGGGATATCCCAATACTTTTGGCAATATAGTTTATGTTCCATTGCAGGAGCTTAAAAGTATATACTACCCCAACATTTCATATTCCTGATATGTATGTTGTACCATATACTTGTGTTAAAAAGTATCCTGTTCTCTTTTTATTGCTTCCTTTGTGTAACAATACCTGGTGATCCCACCAGTCCCCCGGATTTCCTATTTTAAACTGAACAAACCAGGTCATGGAAGCACATCCATCCCAATGTAGGCCGTTTATTTCTTTGCATTCTCCTTGGGAGCACATTGCCTGTAATCCAATGGTCACACTTGTGCTTACATGCACTCCCTTCTTCATTAGGCAGGTCAGTGTACTGCCATTTCTCTGCCTCCTGCAGACATGTTCCCCTGCAGCCTCCACCCTCACTCTCCAAGCCCCTTATGCAACTTAAAACAGAAGTGTAGCTGAAAACTGAGGCTATGTGATCACTTATGAAAAAAAAGTAATAAGAATTTCTTTTATACATTGGATATAAAAAGTCTACACACCCCTGTTAAAATGTCAGGTTTCTAAGATGTAAAATATGAGACAAAGATAAATAATTTCAGAACTTTTTCCACCTTTAATGTAACCTATAAACTGTACAACTCAGTTGATCAACAAACTGAAATCTTTTAGGTGAAGGGAATTAAAAATAAAAAAACTAAAATAATATGGTGTGTGTACACGCTTAAACAAATAGTTTGTTGAAGCACTTTTTGATTTTACGACAGCACTCAGTCTTTTTGGGTATGAGTCTATCAGAATGGCACATCTTGACTTGGCAATATTTGCCCACACTTCCTTGCCAAAACATTCCAAATCTGTCAGATTGCGAGGCCATCTCCTGTGCACAGCCCTCTTCAGATCACTCTACAGATTTTGGAACGGATTCAGGTCTGGGCTCTGGCTGGGCCATTCCAAAACTTTAATCTTCTTCTGGTGACACCATTCATTTGTTGATTTGGATGTATGCTTTGGGTCGTTGTCATGCTGAAAGATGAAGTTCCTCTTCAAGTTCAGCTTTCCAGCAGAAGCCTAAAGGTTTTGTGCCAATATTGACTGGTTATTGGAACTGTTCATAATTCCCTCTACCTTGATTAAGGCCCCAGTTCCAGCTCAAGAAAAACAGCCCCAAAGCATGATGCTGCCACCACCATGCTTCACTGTGGGTATGGTGTTCTTTTGGTGATGTGTGCACTGTT